AGTTTTTATGAGGTAGCAATTACTTCAACCTATTTTTACGAAAAGTTACTTCATTATTTTATTTATTGTTGTTTATACATTACTTTTCAATAGAAACTCATTTTTTTCTTGCATTTTTAAAAAGCGAGCTTTTAAAACATCTCCTATTTCATTTGTAAGTTCAATTATTTAATTAACTATTTATTTTTTTCAAAAAAATAAAAAGAATATTTTTTAAAGATTTATTTGATTGATATATTTTTTCTTCAAATATTTTTTATAAATCGATGATATTTCAACTTGAATAAAAGTAAAAAGGGTAAAAAAGAAAACAAAAAAACTCCATTTTCATATCAAATCTCAATAGAGCCTACAATAGAAATTTCGTCAATTTTTTCATGTCCGAATTAAATCTTTGATGCTTGTTTTTGATCAAAACCCCGTATCGAAACAGTAAAAAATTTGAGTGCTTCAATTTTCACGAATAGCTCAGTAAAATTGAGAAGTAGGCACAGAAGAGGAGAACAGAATAAATGAATATATTGATAGCAGCATTAATAATAATGGTATAAGTTATTGAGCTTGCAAAGCTTTTTAGACAAAGGCCTGGTAGTGTAGAGTAAACAGTGTGGAATTTCATCGCGTACAACCTCGGCAGTGTTTTCCAAACGAACCTATTCTACACAACTAATCCGCTTTTCTCTGTGCTCGTATTAATTTTGCCACAAAAGTGGGGTTGGTGTGCGGAGAACGCACGATTGACGACTATAACTCTATCTGTAGCCTACTCTGTAGATTCTGTGAAATTTTCAGCAAATGAACCAACGCAAAAGAGAAGAGAGTAGGAGTGAGTAAAATGCCGGAGGCATATAATAGGCTCACACGTTTGGATTTCAATCACTGAATAATCTGACATACCAACTCCATCGATTTCTATCTACATATTTTCACATTTCTTCACTTCCTATTATCATTTTTTTACATTCCTCTAATAAATAATAATCGAAGGCATCTTGCGCACATCTATTATAAGTTCCATGAACAGCGCAGGTGCACGCTTTACACTCTGAACGAGCCTATAACCCATAAATAGTGATTATCCTCTATGCAAGACGTCATATTATCGTGATGTATCTTCATAGAAGGCTACAGTTCACTCTACCCTCGTAAGCTTTATGATAAGAGAAGAGAAGAAAAGCACGCCAGGACTTATAAGGACTATTAAAACTATAATATTTCTTTGATTTAGTTCTTGACTTCTTTTAACAAGCCGTGGCTGCTTCAACCCGTTTTCTTATGTACCTAAAGGCGACCTACGACCAACCCCCATTACCCAGTTGACTTCAAAGATACTTTCAGCTGAGGAAAAAGCCGTTTCGCATCTCTTATAGCTCGGGTAAATTACATTCATACTAGTATTATATCCGTTCTACGACTCCTCGGCACTTCTATAAACGTGAATATGGTCCGACGACGTCTCTTAAATCAAAGATGCGTCAGTTCACCTTATTTAACTTCTTACCATCTCATATATCATTTCTTCACCATAAACAAACTCCTTTATATCATTTATTATTATCATTATACTTTATAATTGTTTAAGAATGCTTTGTTTCGTGAAAATATTACACATTATCAGATATAATCTTCTTTATTTTACAAGTTTTTTCCAAGTACGTGCGTTGGTTTAGCTCTGAAATGGGTTTGAATTGAGAATAAGTTTGCATTTGTTGCCGTAATGAAGAATTATAGTGTTTAAATGCCGGAGTTTATCAATTAAATACCAATTAACTGGTTTTACATCATTGTAGATTTTTTTCCATTAAGTGATGATTTTAAACTATTAATCATAGCTAGGTCTTTTAATAAAAAAAAAACAATTATTATTAAAATAATTTTGTATTAGATTTTATAAACTAGATAAAAAAGTTTTAAATGTATAATGTAAATTACATTTTCAAGGATTGATTTCATAAATACCTTTATATATATATATATATATATATATATATATATATATATATTATTCGTTATAATTAATTAATAGCATATCCGAAGAAATTCTTAAATATTGTCCGCATACAAAACCGTATTTTATCAGTATAAATGCATGTAAGTATTTAAAATGGTCAATAATCGATAGAGAATGCGCGAGTTTGTGGAGATTGAAATTTTTCCGAGAGTATTTGGTGCGATGTGAAAGAATTGTAAAAACGAACGGTGACGTATGTGAAAATCGAAATACGGTGTTAGGAAGAAAGATATTAAAAATTCTTGCTGGTATAAAAGTCAAGCTTCAAAGCAGACCAGTATGACCAGCAGCCATGATTCTCGCATATTTAAAAATTTTTCTCATGCTACATCAATTCATAGGAGTTGGTGAACCAGTTCAACAACCGTGTGTAATTCTTCAGTGATTTATTTGAGATATTTCTGACTAGAGTATACGAATGAAATCTGACAAATAAATTTGTTCGTAGTTGAAATGATTCAAACAATTTTATAGATATTTACAATAAATTATACCAAGCATTGTAATAAATGAATCATTTTAAAGAGTTAAAAGTATTGAAAAATGAAAGTTTATATTTTTTATTGGTTAAAAATTAAATTTTGCAGAACTATCAGACTTATAACTATGTATTTTTTTCCAATATCAAACAACCATTATTGATTAATAATAAAAGTGATTTAGCTCATATTTTCGGGTGTTTGACCACGTATTTATTACTCATAGCCATCTAATTGACGTGTTTTCAATATTTTTCAACATAAAGAGATAAAGTTATATCATACTTTTTTTTAATATTTAAAATAAAAATTACTTTTGATGGATCTAAAAAATGCATGATCTAATTGCTCCAGAGCTATAATAAATGTATTCAAATCAATAGATATCACATATTGAACTTATTATACCAAATAGTAAAAGAAAATATTTTATTCCGTAGATGTAATTTTTTTTTTAATTAAAAAATGTAATTATTTGTATAATCCGATATTGGTTTAGGCCACAATATATTTCAATTGGTCAATTCAAATCTTGATCTATCATTTCATTTTTCTATCTATCTAAAAAATAATTAAAAACGATAAAAGAACCTTTTTGATGAAAAAATATGTCTATATTACTTTAATGCCGTCAAAAGAGAAGCGTGGGAGGAATGAAAGTAGAACGTGTCACTGTACTTTCTACTTATCTGAAAACAAATTATTCAATTATGAAACATTTTTTTTTATTAAAAAATAAATTAGATTTTAAAATTAAGTCAAAGTAAGGAATAAAATTTTCTTAGTAAATGAAAAAAAATATTTATTTGATGAAAAAACAAAAATTCAAAAATAATCTGTTAAATGATAACCTAAAATTGTAATTGAAAAAGTTTTATTATCAATCATTTAATTGAGCATCCTTCCATCAAAGCAAGTGATAGTATGATCTCCTCATTCATTATGAAAACTTTAGTCATGGAAATTCAGATAGATTCGTACAACAATAAGTCATTAACCTGATCAACATCGGTGCGATAATTGTCCCAGCAGCAGAATCATAATTACTTGATACAAGATACTTTTAGGATAAACATGTGCAGAATCTAAAGACTGTGGTCAAGCAAACACAATTCCAGTTCTCTGTGCGTCATTAAGGGTGGAAACACGTTAACAGCGTTCATCTAGTGGTTCGTCCTTGCCACGACATTATTCACGAAATGCTTCTCTGTTCATCGTGTGGACGTGCGATTCTCCCTCTGTCGTCTCTGGTGATCTGGGATGAAGCGGATACAATTTTGCCACAACTGGCTTAACCCGATTTCGTCCTACAAACCGCCACCATCGTTGTCGTTCCTATTCTGAACAATTCTCCATTTCCTGATTAATACATGTCCTTCAGTCATTATGTAATCATCGTAAAAAATATTCCTCTATCTAGCTATATATATATATATTTATCTCAAGATATCAAATAACGATAACTATTATATGGTTTAACTTTTTCCCGATAAAATGATTAATATTTGACTACTAAAAAGCCATGAATTATGGTCGAATAGTTTTCTGGATTATTAAACAAGTGAATGAAATAGCACACATAGCGAGTGAGCAGACGAAATTCAATTTAGGTCGCAATGTTACGACTGCAGGTCAAGACGGAAATGGAAACGGACGAGAGAAGACGAAGGACGGGATGGCAAACGAGTGCCTGTAGAAATTAGAAAATTATTCAGATTAATTAAGGAATGATAAAGTCTAGTAAAGCATAACATAAAAAAATTTTATTCGAACATGTATATTTTATTCATTTTAAATTATAAAACTTGTTTAGTTTCTTGAATAAAAAAATTTTATCTTTTTTGAAAATAAAAATATACTGTTAAAATGTTTTCATATGAAGATTATGCTTTTCTTTTTTATTTTTTACATTTTTATTAGAATTAATTTCAATAAAGCTCGGTAGATTTTTACTTAGTATTCATCAACTGATAACTATATTAGATAACTTGCAATTTTAATAAATAAAAAATTTCTATCAATTACTACAAGCTAAAAATTATAAAATATTAAGTGAAAATTTAATTAGAATTGTTTTTAATTTTGAAAAATGAATTGATAACTCAATTCTACATTGGTTAATAATTATTTTTATATTGTAAAAATAATAGGCTTTCAATAATCTTGTGTTTTATTTTAGATAGCTGTTTTATGCTGTACTTGGAAGTTTAACTGTTAATTAAGTCATAAACTAACCCAAACACCTGATAACAATAAACTGACTCATTCTTTCCTGACAACTCTTACTATAAATTTACAACATTAAAATTTTTAACTTCCCAATAAATTCTCCAAAGAAAGGTTTTTTCACACACTAAATCTTTTTCAGGCCCATATGTCGAAAATTGTATTAACGTTTATTTGTTTCTAATGTAGTGAATAATCGTAGTATGTTTTATTAATTTTATTGATATTTCTAAATAAAATGAATAGTAATACGTTAAACTAATAGTTGAATATTTTATTTACAGGCATTCTTAGAAATGGCTGATGAAAATGCAGCAACGACGATGGTTGGTTATTATGCATCAAGCGGAGCAGCATTGAGAGGACGTGCTGTCTATGTTCAATTCAGTAATCATCGGGAACTCAAGACTGACCAGGCTCACAGCAACGCGGTCAGTAGTCCCACCACAAACATCATCGCCAATACGCCCAACGTCAGTACCATCTACCGTTTATTTTTTTCGACCAAGAAGTGCAATTGACTGCATTCAACAACACCAATAGTCGTATTTAGAGTGGTTAGATAAATAATAGATAAAAAAGAATTTCACACAAAAGAAAAAGTCTCTGTTGATAATGATAATTCGATTAATTGATCATCATCAGTGATTCTTTCTGGGTATTTTCTGTTTCTTCACTTTCCAACTTTGTGTCTTTCCCCTTCGGCCAGTTTAAGTTGACATTTTCCCTTGCGATCACCTACGTCAAGTCAATCGACACAACTTAGATCCAAACTCCATTATAAAATTAGTGCAATAATAATTTATGAATGAGCCCCAACGGTCCTTGAAATTATTTTGGCACAGTTGTGAATTTCTCATAGAGAATCACGGTCTATAGAAAAGCTAGATGTTGATACTGAAGTGGTAAATATCGATAGTTGTGAAGGGCGTTGGTTGATATGGGTTGGTCTAGACTTGGACAATTAAGGAATTAAGTTAATTTACAAGTCAGTAATTGAGAATAATGCTTTCGTGTTAGAAACATATATAGGCAGTATCGTATACTAGATCAGCAACGTAGTATAGCAGTAAGTGTGAAGCAAAAAGCCTCCTAGATGCATGCATGTGTAGATAAAGAGAAGAGCGTAACAAGTTGGCTATTCTTGGACACAATATCTAAAGTACTGCTCTTCTAATAAAGACACTTTGGTGATTTCAGTTCACTACTTTTTACCTTTGTACAAGTACAGGAAATTAGACACTTTACTTCTCACTTTCCTCTTACTATCACCTACGTTTTTTGCCTTTGCGTTTTTTTTTTATTTCTTCGACTTTTCCAACTATTGCGTTACCTTGATCATTAATCCAGGATTCTATTACTTGAATTCACGTTTTTATTCTATAAATGGACTTTTTAAAAGTAACAAAAATAAAATTAAGATAGTTATTGAAGCGTTATAAAGATAAGATGTAGCATAAAAAGAAGAAGAGAATAAGAGTACTAGAGAACTAGGGTCTCATCTGTGTTGGAAAATTCTCATAGAAGCGCTCTCTTGCCAAAACCTTTTTTCAATTCTTTAATACCAGGGTTTTTTAGAAAAGAAGAAAACGTCCGAAAAGACTTAAAGGTTGTGTGCTTCCACTTTACTGTGCTGTTCCACTTTCTCACATTCTCATCTCCAGTCACACTTGTTCAATTCTCTTCACTTTATAACCCTCTTGCAGTAGCAGTTATATCTCGTACACATTCTACTTGTGTTTAGGTAGTAGTGTAGGTGGAAGGATAGGTAGTAAGCATACAAACACCCGTCACTCGTGTAATTTATCCATTGTTCTAGCGTCTTTACTGGACGCATATCTTGGTATAATTTCATACTTCTCTTTTAGGTGAACATCACTTTTAACAGTTGCCTATCTTATGTCATGGTTGTTATAAGACAAGATTTTTCTAAAAAATATCCATCTTGTATTCTGGTCAAATGAAAGGCAAAACAATTTTTTCAGTTTGAAATTGGTCTAGAATAATGAGGCATTTAAATTGCGCAACAATTGCTGCAGGGATCTAAGAAAGAGAATAATTACCACGAAAATAAATGTGCATCATATTTAATTTTCCTTTTACTCCTTTGTAAGATAGTTCAACAAGATTGTATAGCCAAGAGTTTGATAATCCAGTAGAATCTTAAGAAAATTAATGTCTTATTATTTCATTGGGAACAATGACAGACGGCCAAGTTTAAGAAAAAGATTATATATAGACTGACGACTTCCGCAATTATTATCACAACGATCGTTCTTCTAGAACGATCTTACTATTCATTCGTTTCTTCCTGTCATTGGTAGTCCTACTACACAGTAGGACGAAAGCGGAGCGTCTTCAGGATCATTTTCCTGAACCACAACAATGGCCATCTTCTGCCTTAGCTTCTCTCTTCACTTGGGCCAGAGGGTTGAGGCAACCTCATTGCAAGCCTGGGTCTTAACGGCTTGCATATTTCACACCCCCGATGTAGATGTACGGCCAACAATGGCACATTGTTATTCGGTCTAGTCGCGGCGACGAGTGAGAGAGAGAAAGACAAGCAATGAGAAGAGAAACCGTTGGCCAACAACCAGGCAAGGGGTTCAAAAGGAAAGGTGAAGGAGCCGCCGAGCGAAGAGGGTGGTTACACCGCCAAGATGGCGTAATATTTTTAATGGAGGGTGTCCTAGGTGATCTACGACGGCGCATTGTTTCCCCGAGACGCCTCATATATTATTTTCTCGCTCCTTCACCTTACCACCACCCAACATAACCTTTTTATCCTTTTTTTATCTACTTGTCTTGTATTTTGCCTTCAACATTTCATCAGTTCGTTTTTGACTAAAACATGTCAAATTATCACAAATTTATTATCTCTTGTTTTGCTGGCACTATAAGGCTCTTAAAATTTATATTTATACGCTATACATCTTCTTCTCTGCTGTTGAGTAATATTCGTAGAAGGGTGAAAAGCTCAGGGCAAATTTCGCCCTGATGACCCAAAACTCTAATCCGATAACGAAAACTCAACTCATCAGTGCTCGAGTACTCGTTAGCTCCAAGATAAATTTATGCAATTGCTCATCGTGCTTCAGCCTCCACCCCTCCTTCTCATCAATTTTTGTCTTCGATATTTTTATTTCATGCCTACAACTTTTATTTTATCTTCCTCCAATGTACCTTCTCCTGACGGCATTCAATTAATATTTATTACATCGTTAATATAATATTATCGTTGTGTTTGTGTTGACCTGTGTATTCTGCTTTTGGGTAGATGTGGTTACTAAAATTATTATTTCAAAGGGTGAAGCTCTATCACTTTAAGCCCTTGGTAGTTTGTAGAAAATGTATATTACCAACATACAAATTTATCTATATGTTGCTACAAGATGCCATCAAAGTATGATGTACGTTGTATATCACGTTCAACATGTATACAAAAGACATTATTTACTTTGGTAGCTCCACATATTTATATGAAGTTCAGAAATATTTTCAAGTTTATTCTACTGGATATATAAATATCATTCAACTATCTTGTCAAACTATTTATAAACACAGCAGATAGTGAATAAATAATTCAGAGGATTCGTTTTCCTATTCTATCTTAACATTTGTTCTTAACCTGAAAGTTAAATCTCGGTAGAAAAAATAATAATGGATACGGGTGTTGTGAATTTACAATAATAAAAAAGTTTAAGCGGTTTTCATAACTATCGGTACTCATTGAACGATAAAATCTACTGGTACTCAAACGAAGCGAGAAGAGTTTTAACCCAAGTACTTCGATTAACGATCCTCGAGATGGAAGAATACAAAGTAGGCTATTTAACCTCCCCTATTATTTTAAATAATTTGCCATTTTATTTTCATAAATTGATAGTTAAGTGGATTTTATAATCAATCAATCAACATAGACTCTTGAAAATTATATTTATAGAAGTTCTTGATGAACTATTTATTGACAACTCGGTAAAATGTGAGATTATATTCACCCTAATTCATTGAGAGGTTTTATATTTGATTAAATTGTGAGTCCAGTATTTTCTTTAGTTATTTGAAGAATGGGATACCAATAGATAGCAAAGCTTTGTGTAAATTTATTTAAGAAATTTTTTATAGCTTGTTTTCATCTTTTTTTTTCTAAAAAGAAAAACGACTCCAAAGTAAAGTAAATATGCACATCAGTATTTTTCGTTCTTTTTTAAATTCATGATCTTCAGAGAATTAAAAATGAAAAATTATAAAAAAAATACATTATTAAATTCAAAGAAAGAGCTAAAAGTATTTAATACTGAATTTTCATTTTTATAAAATTTTACACCAATTGATTTTGCTTGTATTTTACATATCAATTTATTGCTGATACCATATTCTTATATCAATGACGTTATTTTATGTGAAGCCATTCAACACAGCTAACTATTTAAAAAATTTATTCTGATTGGTTTTTTTATTAACATCAACTTTAATTTAGCATTCTAAAACTTATTTAGAAAAACTTTCATTATTTTATAAAAAACTTTCCGTTTCTATAGAAATTATCCAAAACATTAAAAAATTTTCATCTAAAATATACTGGGAACAACTTTTTAGTCACTTGACAAAAACATCCACCAGAAAGTCAAAAAATCAATTGTTTTTTATTCCCATCAATAATTCATTCATGTGAAGTGTTTGAGAAATTCACTGAATGAGATATAAGATAAAAAGCTGAATAACGTATTATGAGAGTACAATAGCTACTTATGTAGAGGCAACATAAGAGGGTGGGAAGTTTATAGAGGAATTTGCAGAAGGGCCGAATCTGGGAAGTGTTGTCATGAAAAAGGGATTATGCGTAAAAAGAAACCTAGGTAGTGTCTAAGTGTACGGTAGTTGGTATTTTGTGTGTAGTAAGGGAGCCGTTAAAAGCTCACTGCTTGATGCGGAAATCGCGGACCATAATGGTCCACACTGGTGTATAACAATCGCGTTGCCTGGAGCAGACCATCAAAAGCTTCGCGGAATGTTGATGACTAGAGCAGAGCAAAACGGCTAGTGACTACATATATATATATATATGTTATAGACTGATATGGTCCAAAGGGTTATAGAGAAGAGTTTCAACAAGCTAACATAGCTTCTGTTACCTTTAGCATCAGCGTACCCAGAGAAATGAAAAAGAATGATAGTTGCTTTTACTAAAGAGTGGTTAATGCTTTTTACCTGTCGACTTGTGAATGTTTTTGTAGACGCATAAAGCCCTTTTACGCACATATGAATGGCCATCTCTATACATATATATTATGTGTACAAAAGAAAGAACGATGAGTTAACTAAATTAGAATATAAATTGAGAAAGTCTAAACGAAATCACTTTTAAATGCACGCTCTAAACCTCTTTTTTCATCCGTCACATCACGCTTCACATATATCGGTAATTTAATTTTTAATCGCTGCTTCGTTTGCATAAATATTTCAATTTTAAAAAATTTTTCAATTTAATTTCGTTTTATATTTTATTAGTATTCACTTTTAAAATTACTAGAAAAAAAATTAAAAATTATTCATTTATTTCCCTTACTATTTGTTTTTTAGCTTTATTATTATTTACTCTGCTGTGTTTTAAGTAAAGAAATATTAAATTAAGTTCTTCTTTAGTATTTGAATATTTGATGAAAGTGATTTAAACAAAAACATCAATTCAATTGGGTGCGAACCAATTTATTTTTTTTTTTGGACTCAAGAGATTTTATTCTACAAAATTATAATAAAAAGTACTATAGAATTCGATATTATCTCTTAAAAATACTGTCCTTAAGAATTTTTTACGATTATTTTTGAGATAGTTCTAGAGACTCAAAGTAAAAGCATCACTTTTGTCTTTGAACTTCAATAACTTTTAGAAAAATAATTGTATCGAACAGTTGAAAAAAAAATTCTAAAGCTTGAAAATTTCTTATGGTCATTTATAATCATTTTTAAAATTAGCTAAATTAAAATATGATTATTTAAATTGATCTCTCATCTGAAAGATGATAAAATAAATTTGAAATTAAAGTTTGTCTAGGGTAGAGTGAAATAATGAAAAGTATTAAATTTTTTTCTTCTAAGAAAACGTTTCTAAGCTATTGCATAAAAGTGTTGTAAAAATCCAAGCTTATATACGTTAGATTTTATTTAAAAGTTTGAAAATACATCAGTGACCTCGCATCACAGACTCGAGGTCATAAAAGTCCCACGATCCCGGAACGAGAAATTACCTTTCCTCGGCACTACTTTATCTATCTTTCTTTGTGTAAAGGATATGAAAGAAGAGAAATTGAAAAGTAAAAAAAAAAAGAAGTGTCAATTCATTAACAACTTTCATAAAAAGTATGAAAGGATTTAAATAAAATTTAACACGATGGTGAATGCAACTGACATTTATACATCTACATACACACCTGAGCATGTAATTATCACAGTGACAATATTGATATAATTTATTGATGCTAAAAACATACGTGTGCATGGTCTCATACCACAGATTGACATCATTTGTAGCTTATACGTTACTTTATGAAAACATTTATAGAAATGTATCTATTAATTACATTACTAAAAGTAGCTATAATAATGATAATTAAAGGGAAATTTAACGTTTGAAATTAATTAATTAAACTATATTTAGTATCGTTGGAAAATTTGAGAGCATAAATCTAATAATGAGAAAGCCATGCATTAATATTATTGCAAAAATGTATGTGCACATAAAACAAAAATATGTATACCCATTAATAGCGTGTGCTACTTGTATACTTAATGATATGATTAACATGATATTTTTTTTATTCAACAGAACTCAAACACGCAAGTGGCATTACAAGCAGCGGGTGAAACACAAGGAGGACCAAACACTGTATTAAGAGTTATCATAGAGCACATGATTTATCCTATTACGTTGGACGTACTTCATCAGGTAATGAAGTCATTTTGATAATACTTTAGTGGCTAATCAAAACAATTGGTTTAATAATGACGAGAGCGGTAAATTAGCAGTTTAAACATGACACCATTTGTCTACACTAGCTACACCTCAGTTAAATGAATAGCCAACACAATTTGTAGACTCTGAAAATGGTGGTTGTTCCCGGTAGCAACGGGTAGGATAAGTATATAGTGTGGGTCGTCATTAGGGACGTCGAACGAAGCCCGCAACGGCCGGAATATCCTCTTGGGAGGTCAACATGAGGATCGCGAATAGGGAAGAGATGACGGGGGAGTGTTTCCTGTTTGAGTTGAGTGGTCCATGCATTTTTAAACACTCTACCCCTTTTCCCCGGTGCTCCTGTTTCCTTCATCTTCCTCTCCTCCAGTGCACCACCACAACCAGTTTGATATTACGTACACCAAACTCACTGCTTCGCTAGGGTAAACCACGCGCTAAAAGATCTTCTTAATGTTGAGGGAATATTGCAGATATTAGATATTACCCCATTAGATTTTACATCAGTCTGATGTACCACTAGAGGAAAAAAGAATAAAACAAGAGTCTCCTGAGATCAAGGATGATCCTACATTAATAGCAACATCGAAAGTCCCTCTGTCGAGGACACTTTTCTCTACACAGTCTTTTTTCTCAGCCGGATAATCAGGATTAGCTAAGACATGACAAAATGTTTCTGTCTTATAGTCTTGCTGAGTTTCCACTGATTATCCACCCTCCATTTGCAGCATGTCACTTTGAGTAATGCATCAGATACCCAAATGATAAATAAGTAACTGAAGAGTAGAAACCACTAGTCTGACCACAAAGCTACTCGCACTACTAAGAGGCCTGACTAGTGTACAACATGTGCTACTAGATGACAGAACCTGCCGGTCCACAGCTGTGGTCGCTAATATCGGCGGCAATTTCTAATCCCACTTAAACTTGTCCTGCACTAGCTTGCGACTGAATAGTACCATACAAGCCTTTCTCGACTGTTCCTATAATATGTAGACTGTAGGGAGAAATAACTTTGCTATGCAGCTATTGTACTAACGTTAAATAATCCCACACCCTCATATATGACAAACAGTTTCTTCTTAGTAAAAGTCTACTTTGGCGAACAAGAGCAGGGAAAATTTATCATTCATCGGTTGCTTTTTATTGTTAGTTGTTATGAGAGAAAAATTATTTTGCTATTTCTGATCCATGGGGTGTAAAGTGAATAGGGGTTGTATCTATGTCATACTTATCAAAAGATCAACACATTATTATGTCACGGTTCAATGAATTTATGACAAAAAATAAAAGTAATAAATAATAATAAATATATTATCAAGATGAATAGATAATTATTATAATTATTTAATCATAATCATTAATATGTTTAATATTGAATGTTTTAATAAAGTTTTTTGTTTTTGTTTCATTTAAATTTTGATATTAAGATTTTCAAAAGTATTTTTAATAATAGTAGCATAAATTTTTTTGATCAATTTTGAATGTAATGTTTCAGTAGCATGTCTGAATATAAAGAATTTAACTTTAGTGATAGTATAAAAATAGTTTGAATGATTCAAACATTTTTATGGTCTGTTTGCATCTATTTTTCTATCACAACACAATTGTGTAGTAGATTCTCTTCATTTTAAAATGAAAACATAGTAGATAATACGCCAAAAACAAGTCAAGAAAGATATATTCAAACGATAAGATAAGTTTTCAAAGCTATAGAGATAATTCATTGTTATACAAGAAACTAAAAGTAAAAAAAAATAGTTTTTTTTCAGTGCTTCGATATCTGGTGCTATAATAATTTTTTGATAGAAAAGTACTGCACTGTTGTTGTAGAATTGAATACCAAAGAATGATTCCATTTGATTATGATAGTAAAATTTAACAGTCTAAACTTTGGTACTTGGATTAAATAAAAAAAAATCAACCAGAGTTATGATCTCTCTTAAGTCAATCAAAAATCTGCACAAAATCCATGAAGTCGAAAAAATATAACTCACAAACTTTCAAAATATGTTTTCCAATGACTATAAAAATATACTTTTCAAAGTTTGTGAGTTGGAACCTGATATATTTTACACCGAGCCATATGATAGACTATGATCTCCACAATAAATGCAGATTTGTCTCAAACTATCTAACTATTTTTTTTAATGCTGATTCATAAATCATAAAAAATCAATTGAAAATAATTTCGAAACAATTATTTCTCTGCTTATTCTACAGCAGTTTTAAAAGTGAAAAATTTGCTCTATTATGAATAAAGTACTTGTGAATTTTTCTTTCTTCCATTTATCTTAGACCACAACTTCTACCGTCTTTCCTGGTTACTCTCTTATTTGCTTTTCGAATCTCCGATATCCAACTTTTACGATCACTTCGCGCTTCGTTGCGCACTTGGTGTGCTCGAAAAAGCCTGAATGAGAGGGCTTCTTTTCGACAACTCAAGCAAGTAAGGTGCTGAGGCGAAGCCCCGATCAGGGTTTTCACTCTCCAAACTTGACAATAACTAACAAACTCACCATAAAAAGCTAAAAGTAAGTTTTACTGTTTTCCCTTATTCTGAAATTTAGAAATGGAAAGAAATGTTTTGTTTTTGTTTCTTCAAAGGGTCCAAACTCTGTCGACATTTTGCTGACGTTTGAGAGAAATATGAACATTGCTATATGATGGTTTCTAACATTTATAAGAAAGTTATGAGTAGAACAGGTAAACTGACAGGTTGTCCCTGTGGTATAAATGTTAGTGAAGGAAACAAGAAAAAGACGTTTGTGGAATACCACCTGGGACACACTAAATCTCGTCTCATTAGAAAAGAAAGACACATATTTTCCCTTTATTTCACCTCTTCTAAAAATATATTTTCATGCAATCATCTTTAAGTAGGGACAACACGAACACGACACATTGATCGATAGCACATAGTCTAGGGTGCTCGTCTCTCAATTTACGACAAGACATTACTTGTGGTAATCGTTATTGCCGCAGATACTACCCTTAGCACCATTCCACAATTATATCGATCTCTCTTAAAGTTCGACTCATCTCTTGGATTATTCTCCAAGATTCTTTTTCTCTTTATTGTTCTTCAGTTTTAATTATTTATACCCTTTTGTTCTTACTCTTTCTCTATTGCCCCTTTTTATCTACCTGTCTATCTTGAATTGGGTAAAAGAAAAACCAGCATTAGGGTTACTAAATCATTCAGCCCAGATGGAAATCAGATGGAAAACAACAAGCTTTTCAAGTAAAACTTTTTTTAGCCATTTTATTTAATTCTTACAGTTTTTCAGCACTTAATATTCAACAAAGAATTCATTTTATTTTTATTACGTGACAATTTTTTTATTTAGTGTAGAAAGTACTGAGAAATGAATCTAATGACAGGATTCGTAAAAAAATGATGACATTCTTTATGAAGAAAAAAAGGGTCCATGAAATTTTTTTCGAAATTTATTAGAATTTAAGTTCTTTCCGTAACACTTTTGAATAAATATTTTGAATTTTAGCAACTAACGAATTTTAAGTGAACCAGTCCTAGAAAAATTTTATTAATATTAAAATAATTAACAATGACACTATAAATAGAAGAATCATGTAAAGTTTCTAAAAAAATTAACTATTATAAATTTCGATGATTCATAATAATTAGTTAGTTTGACATTTAGATGAAAAGAAGAAAAATTTTTCATGAGTATTGTTTTTTGTTTTCATCATTCCAATTATCCTGTGGATCAAGAATTTTTATATTTTAGTCATTTTGTTAACCATTCATGAATGCTTTGTATTTTTTTTAATTAGCTTTCGGAGCACAATTCAATGTTGTGAAAAATTCTAATAAATGGTGAGAAACTTACTACAATAAAGTTATAATCAAACTTTAGTTTTTGATTATAACATGATATTTTCATCTTCTAATCATGAATAATATTACTCTATATCCCTAAAAATGTTGATACCATTTCAGCATTAAAAATATTTCAAAATGATAAATATGAAAATGGTTTTTCATGCTTCAGAACTGTGAAGAAAAGTCGAAAGGCAACAGAGAAAGTGCGAAAAAGTATAAAAAAATAATTGTCCGGTATAAAGGAGAGAAAAGTGTGAAGCATTAATCACAAGTTACTCGGGTTCTATGATTAATGGATTGATGTCGAGTGCTATATGACGTTGGTGGTATAGGCATCGACCATCATGAACATCACGATGTTCCGCTTCAATTGTTCCAGTTGCTCTTGTTCCCGCGTGGAATCAACATCGCACCTGTGCACGTGGCTAACAAATGGACTTTGATAGCATGACTGAGCAACGATCTTGAATATACATATTCTTTATATTTACCTAGACCGCAAATTGGTAGAATTGTATAGTATTGGTAATGTAAATGTTATTGTACATCAGGGCATTATTACATTAAACTCGAGCACTTGATGGCTCCAGAGAACCATGTCGATAATTATACACATCTACACAAATTAATAACTGTTGCTCTAATCAATAATCAACGGCATTGACGTAACTCATGATGTCATGATGGTATGTTTGTGCGATACATATTGCTGTGAGTAATTCTCAGTGTCAATTTTATAAATCGCTAGATGATCTCCAGAGATAAGAGAACACAGACGTATTGACGGAAGCTAAAATAAAGTGTTATTAAATTGAAAGTTTTATTATTTATATCAATTCATTAAAGCTCTATAAAAATCGAATTATTTTTAGTAAATTCATTTAATGTATTGACATGTTTAATTATTGTTTGGACACAAAGGGAAATGAGCAATTGGTTATTAGTTATAACTAATTACGGTTTCCAAAGATAATTAATTATATCTATTGAGTATTATTCTATTCAATTTATCATTTCGAAAATTAAATTAAAATAATATGTATGTTATAAAAGATAACATTTTTAATATTATTAAAAGTATAGAGTGATTTTTATCTAAACTATGCTTTTAGATCTATTACAATGGAAATTTCTATGGCTTTTAGAAAATTCATTCATAATTCAACATTAACTTTTTTTTAAATTTTTATTTTTAATTGTAACATGATATACGAAAAAAAAATCGACTAATCATAAGAATGAGTTTAGTTGGAGTACATGTAATCCCTTTTTTCTTTCAATTAAAATACACATAAAAAAAACAAATGAAATAAAAAATAACCAGTAGCAGAGTACAAAAAATATGGAATTATTTAATTCATACCCAAAAACTTTACTAAAGGCATAACGGTGCTTTTAGAATGATATCAAACTGGAAAGCAAGCTTTTAACTAATTAAATAAACAGTTGACAAATGAAAAATAAAATTTGTAAATGACAAAATATTTGAATTTAATTTAACAATACTAAAACTTGTCTCAACATTATTTTTTTTTATAAAAAAAAAATTTTCACTTTATTTATTTAGCAGCAGGAAAAATCGTAACAGGCTTAGTATTTATTATAGCACGTTTAAAAAGGTTACTGAAATTAACATGAATTCAAATATCCTAACACATAAAAAAGGGGTTGCAGATTTATTAAAGAATGAATGTGTTTTTAACTCAATTACTTTTTAAGGGTGGGATGAAAATTACTTCATTCATAGAATTCTTCGTCGTAATTTAAAAATTTACTAATCAATTTAACTTACAAAGAGATTTTTTTTTTATATTACTCTGCTCTATAGCTTGAATTAGGATTATAATGATCGAGCAATAGTCTTAAGTATTCTCATAACCTATCTATTTATTTATAATAATTTGTTTGTAAATAAACAGAGCTTTTGAAGATATTAGTAACTCTGGTACCATTAATGAAATATTTAATCGAGTTTTCATTTCATAAATTCATTTTTCTTCGTATAATTTTTGATGTACTAAAATTAGAATTTCCAATTTTTATGGTAGACATATGATTGTTGAAGTCATTAATGAAGTTTTGGCAGTTATGTGACTACCATAAGAGTTGAGCTATGGTAGAATTCACAATTATAATTTTAATGTATTAAAAACTATCCAGACGAAGATATTTGAATGTAAATTATGAGATTAACGAGAATTTATTTACATCCTACAGGGAATTTCATTAATATCTTGCCATTGCTATGAGAGTCCCTAAGCTTCTTAAATAATAAATAAGTCTTAACAGTTCAAGAGCTGACAATTTTAATCAAGTACATAGAATAGAAAAAACTCTGACATTTTTCGAATACTACAATCAAAGTGTTCTTAAATAAACCAGTCTCAAGTTAATCCAAGAAGTTATATAGAATTAAATACACATGAGTATTATTACCTAGAAAAAATTACCAAGTTGTTTGCAATAGTCATCAAGTGTTTTGGTGATATCTTATCAAACAAGATGACAATAATTCGTTATTAATATTTTTACTACACAATTCTAAAAATGAATGAAAAAAATGACAGTACTAAAAGGCATTATGACTGTTGAAAAGTCCGATATGAAAATAATTCACTAAAATATATTCACAAATAATCTGATGAAAATGAAAATATATTGGAAGAAAAAATATGATCAATTCAGGTCTGAAAAGGTTACTTGGGGATATAAATAAAATAGTGCAATTAATTCCAATTGAATGAGTAGGGATGAAAAGGATATAGGGTTGGTAGGTTTTTCTTTAACGGATGATAGCCGTGGTTCGATGAAAATATCAAGTGAGTTTGGGAGAAGAAAAGGAGGAAATGAGAGAGAACGTGGTGGCAGGAAGCTATCGAGTCTGGAGAAGATTGCTCGCGTGCCGTTGGTTTTCGTTCGATTTTAGTGTTCGGGGTCGAGTGAAAAATTCTTAAGCGCACATTCAACGTCTCAGTGATGGTTTTTCGATGCCGATATCTGGCCATTGGACCTCCTAAGATATCGCGTCCGGTAAACAACGATCAACTCAAGCCAAGTAGAAATAAAATGACACGATAAAACCATGGAGAAAATAATAATATTACAAAAAAACGTACGGGTACCTTGCGTGTATCTATACACTATACATCCTAAACTCTTGCTACATATTTTTGTACGTAATATATAAAATATATACTACCTCGCCAGAGACTAGAGGATGTTCTTGTGCAACTACTAAACGACCGCAAAGGTAGATTCACGCGAGAAATGCCCACCCTTGAGTTGTGTGCGCGTTTTTCTGTGCCAAGATGATTTCCCACGGGATTTCAAGTAGGTATACGCGCTGGGTTAAAAAGAGAACGAAAGTACGTAAAACGGAAAGGCCGTTGTGTGCCAGTTACTCGATTTTGTGAGAGCCAATTTTATCGGGATTTCGTAGGTGTTATATAGAAAGAGAGATTTCCAACAGTAATTTGAGATATAAAGCTTTGAAAATACGTATACGTCATTGATAAAATGATTGAGAAAACGTTCGAGTTTTTTTTTTTTTTTATTATTTTAGAGTTTTACCATTTAATCACATCAATTGATGGTCACTTGGTGAGAATGTCTAGGTTAAATGCGGTTGACTGATGAAAATCGAAAATTATTATTATTGAACTCGATTTATTGTGCTGAACTCATCATCACACTGAACGAAAATTGCAATGGTAGCACTTTGATTTACCCCGGCATACGAGTATATGATTTAACGTGAATAAATGTTATCGTGATTTATAATAAGATATGCAATATTATTGACAGATGGATCATTTTAGCCATTTTGCGTATTTTAATACTTTTATTGTCATTTTTTTTTCACACATTTAACAAAGACATGGAATATATTCAAAATATTATTATTTTTGTAATATAGTGTATTTGTTTGTAGAGAGAAGAATGAGGATAAAGTGTTCACTGGGCTACTACTCTTAATAGAACGTTTGCAATAATAACGGGCAATATCGCTAATGACTGGCGTTATTTGTACGAGCTTCAATTAAAAACACACACGTTGATATAATTGGATGGTCCAAATGACGATGGAAAAACCCAAAGGGGGAAAGTGCAGTGTAGCAAAACACCCCTTTCTCTTTATTCCCCTCTCTCATTTGTATCATATTTTATTTATTCCATTTTTCGTCCATTAGTGTATTGACAAATTATATTATATTTTCTGTTTTAAATATGAAACAAATGATCAAGCAACATGAAGCATCATTCCATTATTAATTATATACTAGCAACCAAATACCATATCTAATTGTAATGCAATATTTTGGGAAATTTTATTTACCAAAAACATCAAGACTAGTGATCAGAATAAATATGAAAATTTATCTAGCAACCAACGACCCACGTTGTCATCGTCTGATCTAACTGAATATGACAATTAGTGTAAAACAGATCATGGTTGGCAATTGGTGGGTGCGATAAATGATACGTTTGTTAATTTTGCCTCAGGCCGACTTGCCTGCATTGCTTTCAGCTGCATATGAGAAACTATCTCTCATATTATAAAGTGAGATAGAAATGTACAGGTATGCAACCAGCAGGTCAATCTCTGCGGTGTTGCCTCTGTACTATTTGGTTGATCCGTTCAGCCAGTTGCAGCTACACGTACGTCATTTCCACTCTCGTCTATCATACATAATCAACCCCGTTTTCCTCTAATACTCAGCATAATTAATTTTTTATACTTTTATTTTTTATTTTATTCGTTATTGTATGCTTTTTTTATGTCTGGATTTTAGTCTCAAATTTTTTCGCTTTTTTGTTACAGATATTTACACGCTTTGGCAAGGTTTTAAAAATTGTTACATTCACCAAGAACAGTAAGTTTATACGATTATTATTACTTTTATCATTATTTCTATGATAAAATAATTGTGTATAAAATTTCGGTAAAATATACATTCAAAGTATTTTGATGATATTTTAAAATGAATAACATTCTATTCAATGATTATGATACATTATTATGATGATTATTATTATTATCAAAGCAGTTGTTTTTAGTTCCATGAACGAAATGTAATGAAACAAATTACGTAGGAATGTTTTTGTCATAAAAATATATAAGTAATTAAATAAAATATTATTTAATAATAATTGAATGAGAGAAAGATTTGGATAATGTAGGAATGGAATGTAGGAAATACAAAGTAATAGAAATTTTGAATGATCCAATGAACAAACGATTTATTTATAGATAATGAACTTTACTAGTGGTATGCTTAAATAGAGTAGGATAAAATTGTCAGTTATACTTAATGAGTTATTTAGTTCAATTTAATTCAAATATTGCCCAATAACATTTAATATTAATTAATAATAAAAATTTTTTTAAACCATTTTCAATTGAATGTAATAATTTTATCACAAAAAAATATTATTTAATTAATTTTATCATAGTATAATTAATGTTATCGGAAATATTTACTCTATGTATAAATTTATTTCTTTCAATAATAATTAAATATGTTCACAAGTAATTTATTTATTGAATATTACAGTAATCTATGAGAAATTAATATTACCCATTATTGTTCTTCTTTTATGAGTAATTTGGAAATTGGAATATTCAGATGAATATTAAACCAATTCGAACCCATATGTTTCATCACATAATTATGCATTTTTTGATATTATATTTTAAACAGCATTAAAATGTTTTTAACAATAAAAAATATTCACTCATTTAATAACAGCATACCATCAATGAATAATTTAGGTATAATTAACTGGTTAATTTATTGTGCCCATTAATTGCACATAAATTATGCATTATTTTCATACATTTTATAGCTGGACAAAATGTGCTCCAAAATGAATGTATTTTATAGACATTTTATACACAATTTAATGTGAGTGGTTAATATTATGTTGTGATGTCATTCCAAATGTTTTTATATTATTAAATTTTTTTTAAATTATTTTTATTTAACAATGTGTAAAAAAAAAATATGTGTTATATATATTTTGAATTACTAGAATTGTAACAATGATATTTTCAAAATAATTTCTACTATAAAATGAATACAAATTTTATAAATATTGCAAAAAATTAAATATTCTGAAAGTTCATAATAAAATTCAAAACTATTTTCTTGTCGAAAGAGTGCTCATAGAAATAAAAGAAAAAAAAAAAATTAAATTAAATTTCTATTAAAACAAAAATTAAATTGTTTTACGAAATTGTTTGATGTTATAATGAATTAATTTTTATAAGGCAATCATAAAAAAATCAATTTATTAAAATATTTTCCGACAACTATTATCTTAATTTAAGAAACGGAACTATAAGTAATTGCGTAATTTTTCAATGTAAATGATGAGTTTATAAAAGACATTGTCATTCAAAGAAAGTTGGTGAAAGTTTCGACAAATTTAGTTGGTAAAGTTGATTTTCGTAGATTGACACAATGATTTAAAACGCTTTTTTTCTCCATTTTAGGTACATTTCAAGCGCTCATACAGTACTCGGATACAATAGCGGCACAGAATGCTAAATTGGTAAGTATATTCCATTTGGTTACAGTTTGGCCTCTTCAGCCCCTTAAATTTCCGGTGCGCGCATATATATACACACACTTTGCTTCTCCAATCCTTTGGGAAAGATAGATCAGCTTGGGAATATTCTTCCGGCTTGACTGCGCCTCTACTCTCGCACGTGATGTGAATTATGCAACAGCCTACATTTTCGGGCCTCACATTCGCAAATCGTGTGCAAGAATTATCCGATTAATATTTAAATATTCATTTCAAGATTCCAATTTTTCTAGCCAATTTTTTTACTTCTTTACTTTTTATTATTTATTTATTTTTTTTTTTATTTTATTATTAAATCTAAGCTTAAAATTATTGTCTTCGTACCAACGAATTACAACAAACGAGCCTAGCCTCTAGCAATTTTGCTCTTCAAAGATTTTAATAGTCTCGAAGTCGTTGGGAAAATTCTCTCTTTCGTTAACCAAGTTGCAACGTGGCTCGTTGTGCATTGCCTAAGGTTAAAGTTTTCTTTCCCTTCGCTTTGCGGCTTGCCCCTATAGAACAAAGTCCTTGTGATCTTGTCATTATTGAACAAGTATGCTCTGTCTATTTATATAAAAAAATCTCCAACTTTAAAAAAATATAAGATTTATAAGCTTATTAGCAATTACTCGGACTTGGATTAATATTTTCGTAAGTTTTGAATTTTATTCTTATTTAAATACTAAACACATTTTTCTTATTTCTAAAAGGTTTCTAAATTTTATACAAATACATTTACCAACTTTTTTTTTTCAATTCTAATTCTGTAGTCTAAAAATAATTCTTTCATTAAACATGTATTTAGTACAGAGAAGTCGTGCTAAGGATCAATAATCTTTAAAGGATTCTATTTCTTATCGTTTTACAAATTATGCTTCTAATAAACTTATTTTTAAGCTATGCAGAATCAATTAAAGTAATACTAATTGAAAACCAATTTAAATCATAAACCCAAAAAAAAGTCCAGTTGTATATTATTTTTATTTTAAAATATTGAGGCGTATTAAAAATCAGATTTATTTTATATTTGGAATAAAGTTAAAAAATATTGACGTAGTCAGTCTATTGAATATTCTACATTTTCTGAAGTTTCTAAATATTGAAGTAATGAGTAAAGCCATATACATCAAGAAGTGAATGCTATATGTATATTTAATTTCCATTATGCATCGTAAGTTTTTATAATTAATCCTCCAATTTAATTGGATATATGATAAGACCATCATAGAATTAATTAACTCAAATTCTAAAGATTTCGTATTATTAATAACATTTTTGAAATAAAACCAGACATTGATTTTATTTTAAAAGAATTTTTATTCAAATCTCATTTAACAATTTAGTGATTTTTCAAATAAATAACTTATTTATAATATAATGTTGCATATTTTCCTTTATTTTGTTGAAAAAAAATTTCAAAAATTTTAGATTGTTTGAATTGTACCTGATAATACTGTTATCAATGCAGTATAAGGGTAATGTTAAACAAAACAACATGCAATATAGCCGCCAGTCTCTTTGTGAATAATCATTTATAATTACTCTTGTTCACAGAGAGTGTAGAGCGTATTGAATTTTCTATAACTCGAAGTTACAATTCCCTTCATCTTTATTTATACCACTATTGTTCTGAAAAAAATCACTCGAAAAAAAAAATTGCAACTTTAAAAAAAAAATGGAGAAAAAGTTTAAAATGATTTATTTTTATGATAAATAAATCAATTGAAGCTAAAATTACATTATTCAAGCATTATTTAATAAAAAGAATTTTAAATAAACGTTCATTTGAGTAACTTCTTTACACTAGTAATTTCAGTTAATTAATCAATTCATTAATTAATTACTCAGTTAATGACTTGACGATACTAGAATATACAATATGACATTAGAAACATCGCAACATACTAACTTTAGTTATTATTTGACTAAAATTTAAATAAAATAAATGTGAAATTGAAAAAAGTATAGGATTATTAAACAATAGGTATACGATTTACTATTGAAAATTAACTACAGCAATAACAATTAAATACAATGCATTATTATATATGAATATGCGCATATTTAATGATATAGACTGAACCACGTTTGAAAATGACCAGAACTAACATTGAAGCATACAAAACTTACATGTAACAGAGAGTAGAAGTCAAACAATAAAGCTAGCATGCGTTTTGGCACAATTGTGCGGTCAGCAATGTGCCTTTGGGTTATTAACGAAAATCAAATAAACGAATATAATACAATTATTATAGTTGCTAACCCATATAACCCAATGTTTCTCTATGTTGTCCTTGAAACAATTCAATTTATTTAAATATTTCATTGAAAAATCATTATTTTCATTTATTTCAGACTCTTGATGGACAAAACATTTACAATTCCTGTTGCACACTCCGTATTGACTTCAGCAAGATGCAGAGCCTCAACGTAAAGTACAATAATGACAAATCAAGAGACTATACAAATCCAACATTGCCTACAGGTGATCCCAATCTGGATGCAGCATCGCTTGCACTTGGGGGTGAATTGCTTCCCCAGCTTCTTCTTGGCGCAGCTGGCACACAGCCACGAGCACGTTTACCTGGTAAGTATTTTTTTCAGTTAACTTGTACTTTTTTTTATCTTGCTATTTTACCCGCTTCTTTTTCATTTATTATTCACGTCAATCAATCAAGTGGATTCTATTTTATTAATGTAACCTCATGAATTACCTGAAGTAGAGTCAATTACAGGGGCGCCGAGCGTCCTAGCATCGCCATTCGCTGCGATGCACGGGCTACCATCACCACTTGGAGGACCTTACGGTAATGGTGTAGCACCAGGTGGAGGAATAGCTGGTCTTGGTGGATTTAGTCTTGGTGCTGGTGCTTTGGGTGTCAGAGTTCCAGGCAGTCCACAAATATCTTCAGTGTTGCTCGTCACCAATCTTAATGAGGAGGTAAGTCAATCGATCTTGTCTACTCTCATTATATTTTTATTTTTATCTTTATTTTTATTTATTACCTCAACATCCCATCCACTACGTCGCCAGTTGATACGAGACTCTTTAGCATATAATGTCATGCTCTAAAAGGAGCATATTATTGAGTCCCATGCCTCGATAATTTTGCTTCTTAGATAAAAATAACATTCTCATTTCCTTCCTACATATTATATCCTTATTGTTATCCCTTTTTTTTCTTCCTTATTTTTCCTTTTTCCCTCACCTCCTTTATTACCTATATTATTTAGTATATTTTCGATACGATACGTGAGCTGCTCGGTACGTACGTCGTTTTACCAATGAATAATAAATTTAGAATCTCAAGTAGTAAATTCTTCACAGTATATTTCGAAGCTAACAAGACAGATTTCCTCATCGAATATTTAAAATGTACCACTGATTACAAATGTACCGAGTATAAAATTTATCACTGATGTCAATAAAGTTATATTAAAAGCTCAACAAAAAATCAAATATTTGAAGAGGAAATCGATTGTTTAGTGCATATGTAAATCCTCGTATTTGTCCGAACATAGATACGATTTTGAAACACGCATTATAAAATTCACCTAGTCGTCATCACTACCCTATAGATCCTCGATTAATCGTAATGCCATGACAACTTAATGCCTCGTGATGCCCGAGCTGAGTATTTTATCTTTTATTTTATTTTATTATTTAATATTTATCATTTTTATTTTTTATCTTATCTATAATTGACGTATATTATATACATAGTGATATAAAAAATTTAAAAAATTGCACGGGCATCTCGATTTAGATTCCAAATGTTATACATATATCTCGCAGCTGCAACTTGTTACTATTACTATACTATTACTGTGTGTTTACTACTATTCGTTGTGTTTGCGCACAAGCTTCGCGATTATTTCAATTTTCACTTTACACTTTATCTCCTTACTATAATTCTGTAGTCACATTTTTCAGTTTTTTTTTTTACCAAAAAATAACCATAACAGCAAAAATAAACAATTGAAATTAATTTAAGAAACTTGTGCGCTATCACCCGTACTATACATTAAATTCTATGTACTCGCTGACTACTGACTGGACTCTGTCTGTTCTCTGTGTAGATGGTCACGCCTGACGCTCTCTTTACCCTGTTTGGTACGTCTCCACATTTATATTATTAATTATATTATACCATTAATTAATTAATTAATTACTTATTATATCTAAACACTTATTATTGATTATTCACTATGTCAAGTCACTACTGTTTCAATATTTGTCATAGAAAAAAGTCATGCAAAGCGCAATCTAGTTTTATTAAAATTCATCAGACGTAATTGGAAAAAATTTTAAATATTTAGTCTTATCAAACAAGTCGTGTAAACGACTTTTTTTTTTATAGAACACAATCACTGAATATAAGAATAATAAATTTTTACATTTAAAAATTTATCAAAAGTACTGGAAAAATTAAACAAAAGATAAATATTAGTATAAATAATAGAATATCAATAAAACATGAAACACAAAACTTCATAATATTTCTGTTAATCATCTTTAAATTTTTTTATTAATTTTAGTTATTTAATTTTAATTATTCCACTAAATTTCCATTATTGTCGTATTGATTACTATTACTGTTATTACAAGATTTCTATAGCTATATCTATTATCATAGTCATAATCAACGGTACATACTTAACGTTCACAAATCTTCTATTTCTAAACATTACATATCTTTTGAGATTCTTCACCAGTGATTTATATTAATAATATCAGTTTTCGACGCCTTCATATTGACATAAGCTTTTGCTTAATAATTTTACGTAATTCCGTAGGAAGCGCCATTTATTACCGAGGTGCTCGGCGCATTTATAAAGTTCAATAGATTATCCATGACATTGTTTAATAAATTTATCCTTAATATCATTGAATGAATCAGAAGCCGAGCGCCTCTTGCATGAATTAGACCTCGGTTCGATCATAATCCTGATATTAATTTGCATAATTTTTTTTTATAATGAGAATTGAAATTAATTAATTATTTACACGTAGTTTTTTTTTTTAATTAAACTAATTTAGTGAATTAGATTTCTTTTTATGTATTTAACTGATTTATATATTTCAAATATTGCGCATGTAGGCGTTTATGGGGATGTACAACGTGTGAAGATTCTTTATAACAAAAAAGATTCAGCCCTCATTCAAATGGCTGAACCTCATCAGGGTCATTTAGGTAATTATACTATTTAATTATACTTCAACATTAATTGAAAATAAATAAAAGTTAATTACATAAAATTTAATTAATATTCGTTTTGTATTTTATTTTCAACAGCAATGACTCATATGGACAAGCTCAAAGTGTTTGGAAAACAAATTAGAGTCATGTTTAGTAAACATCAAACTGTACAATTACCAAAGGAGGGCCAACCAGATGCGGGTTTAACCAAGGATTACACCAATAGTCCTCTACATAGATTCAAAAAGCCGGGTTCTAAAAATTACCAGAATATCTATCCACCAAGCGCAACTTTACATTTATCAAACATTCCGTAAGTTGAATATTGCTTTTTTATGATGAACCTATTAGATTATAACGACGACAACAAATAATTTAACATTATTATGATTTTTTAGTGCCACTGTAACTGAGGATGAAATAAAGGATGCTTTTACGCAGAACGGTTTTACGGTAAAAGCCTTCAAGTTTTTCCCGAAGGATAGAAAGATGGCCCTCATTCAGATGCCTAGTATGGATGACGCAGTGGCAGCTCTCATTGTATGTATTTCTTTATTTGTCTTTTTTATAAAAATACTATTATGAAAATAAAATTATAATATGTATAGAAAGACATTTATGTGGGTTTCATATATTTTTACAGAAAATGCACAACTATCAGCTTAGCGAGTCTAACCATCTGCGAGTTTCCTTTTCAAAAAGTAACATCTAACAAGAGAGATCATACTTCGAGGCTCAGTGGTTGCAGCCGTACACCCTTGTTCACTACTGGCATTCTAGTACTCTGTATGACTGATAAATCTACTGACTTCACAAATGGTTCAACGATGGATTTTCTATTGGTACTACAAACCCTTTACCATCTTAACAAAGCTAGAAACTCGCCCATTCGTCAATGTCCTTTGACCGTAACAATTCAGGGAAAGCTTGATCCTCTTCTAGGTGCTTTGCGGTTTTGTTGGTCAGGTTGTCACATTCCGAGACAGAACAAATGCGTGTAGTTTGCGAAACATGTTGCCTGATTACTTTTTTTATTTATTTACTCGACAAAGCGAAAGACGTGAAAAATATTTGAAAGAATAATCCTTTTAAAAGGAAAATATGACACAGTTTTGTCACTTTCTGGATAATTCTGGCCTTTATGAAAGAGCTTTATCAAGTTTCTAACAGTTTCGAATTCTCTGGTAGTTATTTTGATTGTCTGATTGAAATTGTAATGGAAATTAGCTCAACGTTTTGACAAATTATGTAAGTTCCTACTTCGAGATTGTTGTTTCCAAAGAATCACAATTATCTCGTGTTTAAATGGATCTGATGAACTTGCATGTGAAGAGAATACGGAAGAAGGGCTTGCCGAATTAATCAGTTTAATTAAACTCTTGTACAGAATCCACATGTATATCATAAGATACATATATATTTTACAAGTAAATCGGCCGCACTAGCGCCCACAATTACTGGTGATTATTATTATTATTATTATCGTTAACATTATTATTATTAATGTTATTATAATTACTAGAATAATAATATTAATAATACTGATAAAATGTTTATCATTATTAATAATATTATTCATTAAGATTTTTTTAAGTATTGTGAGACAGATGAGAGGTTCTTGTTATTTAAAACCATATAATTAACTTATATTATCAGGCAGTCTCCATGGCTTTTTCAAGGTGCTACTATCGTTTTATTATGCTAATGAATGATTCCTGGTATTTTGTAATTAAACGATAGCCGCAGCCATTGAGAATGTTTTGATACAAGTGATGAAATGAAAATGATTTTCTGTGACATGATCTATTTTGAACTGGTAAATATCCAGTATTTCATAGTCAATCGTTGCATTAAACGTTGACAGTGAACTTTTCATTAAAATGTTAACTGAAGTAATACAAGACGATCGTGCTATTATTTACATAAATTAGCACATCTGAGGTACAAAATAAATCAAATCAATCAAATTCTTTAACCGTCTTTTGTTCACTGGCAATGTGCACGATTCTGACTGCAGCTAAATACAAGAAATTTTATTATTTATAACTTTTGATTAAAAATAAGTATTACACGCACACACAATCGCCGATACATCAAAGTATACAAACGAACATTTTATTTTTAGTTTTTCCATTTTATTTCTATTTTAGATAAAGAGTATAGGTTTTTAGTGATATTGTAAAATAGATGAAATGATAACGAGTAATCGTTTAACATATCGTCGTTCCAAGTTTGAATCTAAACAGACACGTTTGAATATTTTGTTGCACTACAAACTTGACAGAGATTGAAGGATCAATGTAATTATACAAGAGCTTGAATATGATTTATTTTATGACAAATTAAAAAAGAAAAATGTTTCACAGATGTTTACGTTTTAATAAAAAAAATGAATACCGTCTTCCATCGGCAGCTCAATTGCTCCATTTACTATTTTCCTTCAGTCTTTGCTCGTGTCGGTTTTGTGACAAATCGAGATTTCAAACGAGGTGATCATGAATCTGGAAATATATAGTCGTGTAAGATATCAGTACGTGCATAGATGCATTATGATAGTTAACAGAACGTAGTTATTTAAGACAGGCCCAGAAGGAAAATTCTGAATCATGATAAAAAGATAAAAAATGATAAATATTTTATTCTCAACTGGCCTGATGATATATAATGAAAAAGTAACATTTTAATAGCCTCGATTCATAATTTTTTTCTTAAACCCAAGTATCATTAAAAGTTGATAGTAAAATGAAAAACAAAAAAAAAAGAGAAATGCGATAAATTTTATTGTAAAAGTATTGAAGACGTTTGAAGATTATATCCTATAATTAAAAAAAATTTTAAGTAACAATAATACGTGATAATGTCGTTTTCGACAATTTCCAACAGTAAAAAAAACTCGATTTATTGTCGCAACTAGATAAGTTTGTAGAATGCTCCAAGTATTTTGCGACAGTATTCGGGCAAGTCGCGAATTTAAGCTAAAAAGCAAACTCAATCTTTATAATACGCTAAGCAAACTGTACATTTTGTCTAACCGATATGACATGCTCTGTTGGAGTCAATTACATTTCAATGGTACTGTAAAAAAAAGCGCGTGAATAACTGTGTAAATGGGAATGAAAGCGAATATTGAATGTTTGAATAATTAAACAGAAAAAAAAAATAAAAAATTATATTATAAGCGAGTGCCGGCCCGGGCAGTAGTAATTGTGCCAAACTAGGCTAATTCTTAATTTTTTAATGGGACGTACATTGGTGATACCTATAAAGAACTGAGTAATATTTGCTAATCCGGAAACTATGTATTTGTATTGACCAATTTGCGTACAAATAATACGCATTTAAACATCATCAGCCGGCATGAGCGAACGGGGCCAGTCTTTAAATCTATGATCTGTATTTTTAGAATCTCCAATCGTAAACTACCCTTTTACTTTCACATTTAATTGTGTCATTAAATAATCTTAAACATTCTTCTTATCCGGAATTGATTTATGCTTTTATAATTAGAAACACGAATAATGTCTCCAAACACCTTATAGCATGCGCACAAACGAAATAATCATAGTATTATTTTGCATACAACGGCGATTATTTTTATTATATTTTTAACTGCTTAAATTTATTAATTATGTTTGCTATTATTGTAATGATTTTAATCATAATTATTCTTATTATTACTGTAACTATTATAACAATTTTTCTTATTTTATATTTTTACTTTTTAATTGTCTTTTACTTTGAATCATTCAATATACCATTTTTATTCTTTTTTTGTCTTATCCCTTGGTGCGCATTTCACCTCCTTCCTTAATTATTAATCATTTTCGTGCTTCCCATGTAATTTTAACAACCATATATTTATTATCGATTTTACTTTATTTTTTTTTTTTTTTGTATTTTCATATTAATCAGTGTGCGCGAAATAAACTTCCTAATTACTTTTTTATAAAAATCAAACAAAATGTTATCATAAATTCGCATTATATTTTCATACAAATTATTGTGTCATAAAATGTAACAAATAAAAATGAATTCCTTTTAAATATTTAATCAATAATTAACAACTAATTATATTAAAGAGATTCTATTAATGTCAGACACAATATCTCAGTTTTGTTTTATTAAAAAAAATACAGGGTGGTTAAAAGTTCTTCCGTTTTTATTATTTGAAAAATTTTTTAATAGAAAATAAATAATGAGAATACGCCCTGTATAAATAATTAGCTGGATTGAGGGGGGCCGATGTGAGAGTTGGAATAGCCAGCACTCGCTAAGTGGTGTAACAAATATATTAAGTGAAAAAAAAATTTTAATGTCAGCAGGCCGTGAGTCTATTGATCGTACCTTACAAGAAAGGACAAATATAAAGAGAGAAAAAAAATAGGGAAGATGAGACAATTTTATTTAGACTGAAAGTATGCGCGTTGAGAAAGTTCAAAAGATTTCATACCCAGATAATTATAGATAAAATTTATTTACTGGCCAATTGTGTATAAAGTATAAAAAAAAATCAATTTCATATTGCAACATCTTTATTTGTGTATTTTAACGGGTAAATTCAGCACGCGCGCGTATACCCCTTAAGATATATTTGATATATTTAATGATGATGGGGGGTATGTCTCAGGTGCAAAACGGCTGCATTTCTATATTATATATATTTTATTAATAAGTGATTAGTCTACGGTACACTGTGAATTATTACAATTAATGGAGAATTATATAAAAATCTACACGATTATATTGTATATGAGGTTGCATTGCATATTCACACTTATCACCCAGCACATGCATTTTATTCGACTGAAGAAAAAAAAAAATAACAAAAAAATATCAATGACATAAATATTCATTAAAGTATACCCATTATTATCTTGTTGGTTTCAAGTGACAGTCAGGGTACAGAGAGAGTATAAAAATTTTTTAAAATTGATCGACGTGTAATTTATAATCAATCACCTCATTAAGATGGGTGATAATGTTTTGCGGACAAAATTTACAGTATAATAATTAGAGTTTCACTCGACTTTTGATTAATTGGTAATCATAGAAACGTTTAAATATTAATTACTAACGATCATAGTTAAAATAAATTTAAATGAGAAAAAATTTAAATTTAACGTTGGACATTGACCAAAAAATTTCACATAATAATCATATATGATTATCTATAGAAATTGTAATAAAAATTTAGCGAGTATAAAGATGTATTATTTCACTTAAAAGAGAAACATTGTATAAAATAATAACATGTGGTATTATAAATCATGAGGGATTGGGTGTAAGTTTGAGTTAAAACAATTAATTCTTACATATAAAAAAAAATCATGGTATTATCTATAAATACTGTAGCTAACATAGCTATTCTATATTCTATTGTACTACTATAAATTTATCATTTTATTCATATTATGTCTGCATCAGTGTTAAAGAAAAACAGAAGAAGAGGTATGAGATATGACGTAGATAGCCTAGAGATTTTTCCAAATACGTGAATATTAAATATTTACTCGAGGTTTACACATTCTACTCGAGGTTTCTGCTCGCGACCCTACCCCCCTCCTTTTCACACCTTTACATCAGTGACACTTTTTGAAGCATTCAAATCCCTTTTGGATAGCAATCAAGTGAAAATAATGAAAAAGAAATGGGGTTTAAGATTATTAGACAACAAAAAAAAAAACATGTATCAAACTAATGATTAGTCATAATTAATAAAATTATTATCAGCTTCTTTTTTCAAATTAAAAAAATAATGTGCATATTTAATGACAATCACTCTCTAACCGATTAAATGAAAAACTAACAGCCCCAAACTATTCAAGCTGCCACGCACTTCTCACCTATATTTCAAATACTTGATTATTTTTTATTGATGATCACTAATGTCTTCTCTTTTAAACTATAAATAATGACGGCGTTCACTTAATTATTATTCCTCACGCCCAAAAAGAAACTTCCAATGACACTTAAATATTATTGTATTAGTCTTCATAAATGTTAAACAAATGCCGCCGTCATATTTCGCTTCTCATTTTCCTATCGTCTTATTGCCCTTCTTTTCTATAATTCCCGGTAGATCAAAATGTGCCCACAATGTTTATTGCTGATCCCACTGGATTCTAATTTTTGTAATTAAATGTGTAAAATAAATATTTTTACTAGTCAATTGTCATTGCACTCTTGAAAGAAAATTATAATAAATAAAGAGTAAATTAAAAAAAAAAAGTGATTAATATTGATATATAGCTATATTAAACTATTTAAAACTTTTTTTCAACCTCCTGTGTGTGGATCAGCATGACAATGAGGGTCCTTGACTATCGGTTTTGCCCATTGGATGAATATAAAAAGACTAAAATAATAAGTTATAAAAATCATTATTGGGCCAGGAATTGCGTTGCAAATCACAATCAGCTCAGCTCCGGCAAGACAAATCATTTTTTAAAAAGAGAACAATTGTCAGAGCGGGCGTTTTACGGTTAAGCTCTTAGTAAGTTCATTAGGTTTAGTAGATGAAAAAAATAAAAAAAATCCCCTCGAAACAAATGACGTATCTCACTTGAGATTAAGTAAACAAAAATAAAAATATCCCTCACAATCAAAGTCATAATTGTTAAGAATTGAAATGTACAGAAACTGTATTAAAAAACATTGCAAAAGATAGAGAAAACAGATGAAGCATATTTAAACAAGTGGGTATGAATGTACAAAAAAAAATAAGCATAAAATTATGGAAATAATTCACCTCGAGTGATTGCGCGTTTATGTTTAATGGAAAAAAACAATAGAAAATAAATTACAAGTTGCAATGTCATCTGATGCAGCAACTGATCATATGATCGAGTAGATGATAATATGTTAGGAATAAAATCCACGTATAATTTTATGATACGTGAGACTGCGTCACTTTTTTCTTTTTTACACCTAATATATATGTAATAAACAAAAATATATATAAATATATAAATATTAACAGGCGTACGCGTACAAACATATAAATATAATGACACAAATTCACCTCTACAATTGTTCTTCCTCAAAATCATGCTGTTGCATGATTAATTATTATAAAACTTTGCACGTTAGCGTACTATCTTGTATATACAAATATTAATGACTGAAATTTCTTTAAATTCCCATTAAACCCTATTGTTTCTTTCACCTTTATGTACGATTTTTTTATTTTTTAAATCTATTATATAATGAATGATTATTGAATGTTAATGGTGAGCCAGATTGGGTCAGACTACACGAGATGATTAATTCGAAGAATGAATTATAAATAATGAGAGAAAATAAAAAAAACAAATTATTAATTATTAATAATAATTAATATTTAAAATTAAAGGGGGGAAATCTAAGGTCGATAAATTTCTTAAGAATGAGTGAGATAAACAGTTAATTTGTTTTAAACTGTAAAACAGATCATTTAAAAAATTTTTTAAAATTTTCCTTGCGCCTGTTGTTTATTACATTATACTACTATAAACTGTTAATGTATTATTACTGTCTGTCAATTTTATTTAAGATTTTTTTTTTCTATTTTTACACATTAACATTATTTTTATTGTCAATTATTGTAAGAGATTTAGTATTATTTTTACCTATGTTAAGCCTTATGATTTATTTTAAATAACTAAGCGTCTGCTTGATTTTATATGAAATGCCTGAATTTTTTTTTATATAATTCACATGATTTTTAAATGGAAAAAAAAAACAATTGTCGCTTTTATTAATAATTACAGTTGTTTCATTTTTTCAAAAAAAGAATTTTTTCATTTATTTTTTTTTTATTACATTATTACTATATTATTATAATTACCACCACTATTACTACTATTATTCTAATTATAATAATTACTACTATTATGTCTATTATTACTGTAATCACGATAATTATTATATCTAGTATTTTATTGCTACTGTTCTTACTATTGCTACTGCGACTATTTCGTCTTCTTCTTCTACTATACTTACGAATTACTATAATAATTCCATCTAAATTTATATGATTATTATTATTATTATTATTAGTATGTCATTAATGCTTATTCGTTTTATTTCACTATTAATTGTTCTGTCTCTTTTATTCGCAACTGTAGCTATCACACACATACACACACATACATCTTTTTGTGTGTTTTTGTATTAAATTTCTGTCTTAATAATTTCTTTATTGTCGTATAAAAAAAAAATCATTAATGCAAGTAAAAAATATATCTATCCAATTTGTGAAATCGTTTGATTTTATGTTATGTGTTTTTTTCACTACCTCTCCATTAAAATTAATTATTTCTCCAAGCTTATTCTTAAGTTGTATTAATTATCGTATATAACTATTTTTAATAATTTTTTTTTAATTGTGTTTGAGTTTAAAAAAAGAAATATTTACTTAAAGAGTGCGGCATAAATAACTCACTTACGCACAAGTTCGATCGAAAAAATCGTTACGAATTGTGCCTAGATTAAAAATGTATTTTATGGGATCAACGTCATTATCTTCTAAATGAAAGAAGTGAAAAAAATAAGTAAATAAATAAAAAACAAAGGTCGTATCGATCTAACTACTTACTATAAATAAATGTATCATATTCGAAAAAATGTATATCATGTGCAAATGATCATTTTGATTAACTTTTATTTTGTACTTTATATATTTCCAGCATCCTAGGGTAACGCAATGCAATTAAAAAAAATATTACATTGATAAAATTTCAAGATTGTGACAATCGAACTGTGATGCTTAATAGATCAGTCAGCAGTTGATTAGACTTTTTATAAAGAAATAATTTGCGTTATCCTTAATGCTTTTAAGATCATATCTATGACATTACATATTTACTTGCTATATTTCACACTTTACTACTTATATGTATCATAGAATAATGTTATAACTGATCTGTACCTCTATAACAATCCATGTACCTATGTAGCTCTGTTCTTTATATCTATCTGTATTAATTATACATCGTAGTCATGTATACATACATCTTTATTATATACATAATCTATAATGAGTTTTCCTTGTCTTTTCTCTCTATTATATTCTCAACGTTTATTACTTTATCCATCAAGTCTTTCAGAAATTTATCTTTCTTTTTCTGCATCTTCTTTATAGCAACTGGATATCATGAGTATGTATGTTTTTATAATTAATTTTTTTTTTTCCACAAAATAAAAAATGGTTTGAAGAATATCGCTGCCTATATTTGGTATCATCGACTGCCAACGGCCTACTACGTCATATAGCACTTTTTATTTTCTGTTACAGTGAGATCGATATAGATATCTTCCATAAATAGCTCAGTTAGTCTATTCACAATACACCATCATTCATACACATTTTACACATTGGCACGTGCACGCGTGCGCCTTAAAAAAATGACATTGCATTTGCATCAAAAAATCACATATATATGTTAATATAATTAATTGATTAATTGATTGAATATAGTTTACAACATCACAAAGAGATATTGGTTAATCAATTAATGGATCGTTAAATAAATTCTGATTATTATTATTATTATTATTATTATTATTATTATAATATAAGAAGGAGATTAATAGTAAAATGCGGTGTAAATTATATTATATAATTGATTAATAAATAGGTTTCATGAGCATAAGATCGTTAAAAAATACACGAAAATTATCGTGAGTATATCCGAATTCATCAAATCTCAAAGTTCCAACAGTCAATTTCAAACATAGAATTAAGTAAGGAAATTTAAATAATTGTTAATAACAATTAAGAGATAGAAAAGAATTGAATTTTAAAAAATAACTTTTATTGGAAATCGAAGAACCTAAACACAGTTAAATTAAACTGTGAAAATTTCCATCGGAAGTTCTCTATATTTCGACTACGCGAAATAATTTATTTTTTCGCAGTCCATTCGCACACTAATATTTAAATAAATAAATAAATTTATTTAAAAAAATATATGTAATAATAAATAATAAAAAAAGCAGTAACAAAATAAAGTAAATTAATAATTAAAAGTTCTTATGTAAAGAGTGATTGAAAAAGTATGGAGATGTACTAAATAACTTCATATCTATCAGAATTCAAAGTAGTGTATTTCGATATTGTAGTGAGAATCGAATGTTAAGAATAAATAAAAATAGTTATGCATTATGCAGGTTTTAGGTTTTAAAAATGTCATGTAATAGAATGAATAATGTCGTATATGTTTTGAGAACTAATCGTAAATTCAGATTGACTTATATTGACTTATATTTCTGATGGAAACTGAAATCATTGACAAAAGGAGAGAACGAGAGAATGTGTGAATGTTTGGATGAATGAATTATTGAATTATATCTATTACTAAATGTGTGACAATGGAAATAAAATAAACACAAAATATTCCATGAGTTAATGTGAAAATCGGAACAAAAGATTAAATATAAATTTGTATTATATAAGATGAATCTAGTATCAATTAAAAAATAATATCAAATTCCAATATATATAAATAGATAAAAAAAAATATATATATATATATATATATATAATTGAATAAAAAAAAAGATAAGAGCTATAAGTGAGTACAGAACTGCGGTAAAAAGCTCACAAATACTAAAAATTTGACCGCAACAAAAATTAATAATATTATATAAATATATATATAAAATAAAAAATATAAAGTGTTAAGAAATGGAATAAGTTGAAATTGAATAATAAAATTCTAGAGAGATTTTTTGAATCGTAACACGCGATACAAAAGCAGTGTTTTGTTCGTATTTACAACAAAATAAAATTTTAAAAAATAAATAAATAAAACCGCCCAAAAATATTATTATATTTCAATTGCGACAAATTACATGACAGTATAGGGTAAAGACAAAATTGCAAATATCATTATGTATAAATACATACAACAAATTCGGCTGGATGATGTAATAATTTTATTACTGATATTGAGCCACGTGATGCTCATCCGTTAAATATTAAATTACATTTATTAATTATTATAATTAATATAAATGTTCATTTTATCATTAACATTATTATATTATACTACATAATGGAATCAGAATTTGAAATTAAGGTAGAATGAGTCAAATTGTGGACGTAGAAAATGACAAAAAAAATATCCAAGCTGAATGTTACGACTGTGTTAGAATTCACATAATAATATATAAAAAATATTTAAAAAATACATATTTAGATTTCTATATAATGCATATGAAAATATGATAAAGTATAGGTAAATTGTGTATAATGGATAAAACTATGACGGCAGGAAATGATTGTGAAAAAAACTGATATATTAATAATAATAGAAAACGTGATAATCAATTATTACCACGAATTAGTAGGTTCATTAAGATTGTTAGTAGAAATCGTGATTAACTAATCTAGTGATTATTATTGTCATGACAATTAATTATTATTTTTATTTAGATGTATATTATGAACCATTACTCCAAAAAGTCAAGTTAGAAAATCTATCAATGATTTATATAATTATTTGAGATGAATTAAATGATATAAGCGAGTAAAAAATTGAAAATTGTGATGAGGCCAACAGGAAATAAAAAAAATTCCTGTTGAATCGATCACAAAGTAAGCATACTAAATGAACAAGTTGGCAGACTTTGGATTAATGAAGCGATCAACTCGTTCACGTGGAAGCTGGTACGAGTCGTTGAGTTGAAAAATGTGCGGGAGTATAAATTCGACTGTCACGTACATAAGACTTTTTTATTTCTCCTCTTTTACTATTGCACCAAACCTTCTGTGTTACTTCCAAATCGACTGACAATTTTCTTTTCGTAACTCTTCTATGTCGTGTAATGGCCTCGATATGATCGATCACCACTAGTTTTTTAGTGACATATTTTTTTAGGTATCCAAAAATTTATTAGATAAGTCAACATATAAAATAGTTCGTCGACTGCACCACTTGTCATGTTTAAGAGCAGCCCATTTCATCATAATTTTTTATTTGTCAACCTTTCCTTTTTTTACACAACCTTTTTTCATTTTTTTTACTTTTAAAATAATTAAATTCGTTAGATAATTGTAATAAATAATATTGTTCTCTAATTATAATGTTATACATTATTATAATTATGAGTATTATTTAATTGTTAATGTTATTATTCTTATCATTATTACACAGGAATTTCATTTAATTGCTCAAATATCTTGCATTATTTTGTAAAAAGAATAAAGGAAAAATCAAAAAAAAAAAACATTTTAAATAATTAAATAACTATTATAAAATGAAAATGAATTTATTTAATTAACAAACTACTAATCAAAGTTTTAGTACACAATATCAACTCAGTAATAGTAGTAAGACGGAATAAATTGAAGACGTTGGTTATAAGAATAGACAGGAATTCTATACGATGGGATTGAGACAATAGAAGGAGAACTATCAAGTTGATGAAGCTGCGTTTGACTAATCTGTGTTAATTTTGAATCATCCTTTTCAGTTTCATCCTTTTTCATCATATCCCCTTTACCTGTATATATACAAAAATAAAACTATTGTTACATTGATGCTCTTCACTTAGATTATATCTTATGAATAAGATTAAATCAAAGATCTAGCAAGTACAAAGTTTCTTTAAATCTTAAGAGAATACAAAACTGTCCTTAGTGCATTAAAGATACATTGAAAGGAACTGGTACAGTAATGAAAAAAACCTTGAACTCATGGTAGGTTTGTTCAAAATAAAAGGACTGAGTCTATAAAGCCATTTCCGATGTTCATCATATATTAAAGTAAAGAAAAAAAACATAGACAATTTACAATTTATTTTACCTTGAATTATTGACTCTGTGGATGTACTGGAAGATGAATCTGTACTTTTTAAATTAATCCGGTTTTGTAAATTAGAATTACTGCTGGGTAAGATGAAAGAAGTTGCCACAAAGGGCACATTAGATGTTTGATCCCTGTTCATGGTATTTATCTTTAAAACCTTAAATAAATTGGGATATAATTATTTTAAATAAATTAAACAAAATTAATTTATAAATGAAAGTACCTGTGGCAGTTGATTTAATGTCGAAGTTTGTTGCTCTTTCATTTTATTATCTGCAGTATTTTGCTGAGTTGAGCTTTTCACTAACTTTTGCTTTATTTTATTATCCTGTTTACTCGCTTGTTCTTGTTCATTTTCTGCATCTTTTCTTGCTGCTTCATAAGCACGAAGATGTTCAAGCCGAGCAGCTTTAACTTCAGGAGTCTCTTCAACTGGCTTTGGAGCTTGTGGTAAATTACTTGCTTCAATTTTGAAACCATTTACGCTATCAGCTGTATACTTGGCAGTTTGAATTATTCCTGATCCATCAATGTAACTGAAAACACCACGTGTGGAGCCATCACTTGATCTTACTTCTGATCTAGCTGAATCAGGTGCACTGTAGCCAAAACTGTACTGACCAAAACTGTCCTGGTATTCCAATAGAACTTCTGCTGGTTCTCCAAGACCTTCTGAGATCAAACAAAAAAGTAAAAAATATACGAACATGTCTGTAACTTAGAGAACTTTCGTAAATAAACGTCTTTTGACGAATCCTCAACTTCAGTTGCCTCGAACTTGATACTGGGGGTTTATATATCCCTTGACTTGCAGTTTTTCTTCATGTGAACTAAACGATCTTATGTAAAACAGGTTACTTCCCACAAGGACGAACATTGTCTCACAGCCAACGCCAGTATTTTTGTAAATTAGAGGACAAAACTCGTTCTCAAGGTTAAATAAAAATTTTAATGAATTATTTAACTATAAAAGCACACATTAGATAAATTAAACTATCTACTAATGAGTGCCATAAAGAGTAATTGAAGCTACTAGTCAATAATAATGCATGCAGATTACAATTAAGTGATGTAGAGAAAAGAATTATATACTACTACGTATATCATATTACATATTGAGGGTTGGTATGGCGACAGTAACTAAATGTGTTTACCAGCAGTAATTTTTTCTCCCTTTCTTTGTATCAAGTTAACCTTCTTATTTAAGTGAGAATGTTGAACCTTGGCAGTGGCTCCTGGAGAGTCAATAACCCTTTTGTCGAGACCAATTGCTACTTCATCAGGAAGGTCAGACTGAACAGCAATATAAGCTTGTGGTATTAATTCTCGTTTTTTATAAAAAACTACATTGGTTTTTTTTTCAACATCTGATTGCACTGTTGACTTTACAACAGTAATAGTCACTATTAAAATCCAGACCACAATTAATAATGATTTCATTATTGATAAAATGGTTCAACATGTACTAAACGAATTTTTTATTCACCCCTTTTATATAAAAATGTTCTTCCTTATTATTATGCAATTCACAATTCATGATCCATGAAAGTGAATACTTTTGTATCGAGTTCTAAAACTATTTTTCTTTTTGCATCGAATATCATTTCCTGATCTCTTTGATTCAAGGTGATTACTCAAGTTTCGAATTTAAAATGAAATTAACTTCATTATAAAATCCATCTTGATCTTTGTGATCGTTTAAAAGTGTCTGGAATTTATCAAGGGCACTTTATTTCTTCTCATTCCTCCTAAGGTAGTGCCTTGGGCATAAAAATCCAATGACGAGTATCAGGTTTATTGGGCAGGGCGTGGTATTGGCAAATCACCCAGAAAATGCTATATAAACGTATAGATGGACGTTTTCTAACCAGTTGTCTTTGCGAGTACTGATCTTCAGCAGCGCTAGAAGATAGCTAATTTTTCATCACCATGAAAACTTTCGTAAGTCATTAAATTAAAAAAAAAAAAAAAATACTAATAATAGTTTCAAGTATTAATTATTTCTTTAAAATTCTAGATTGTTATTTTTTCTTGCCTCATTGGCATTGCTTTTACCAAACCAGGAGTCCATCTTCTTACAACAGCACCAGTAGCACTTGAAATTCGACAAGGCGCACCAATTGGTCTTGATGGCAAAGTTGTTGATACTCCGGAAGTAGCTTTAGCTAAAGCCGAACATGCTGCAGCTCACCTAAACGAGAAACTCAATCACGCAGGTGTTTCAACTATCAACCCAATCAAGCTTGAATCATTGGGAGGAGCTCCCATCGGTCTAGATGGCCGTGTTGTTGACACTCCTGAAGTAGCTGTAGCCAAAGCTGAACATGCCACTGCTCATCTCAACGAACAACTTAATACCGTTGCTGCTGACTCCAATTTTATTGGTTATACTTTTGCCAAAGTTCAACCAGGTGCTCCAATCGGTCTCGATGGACGAGTAATTGATACTCCTGAAGTAGCTCTTGCTAAAGCTGAACATGCGGCTGCACATATTAATGCTAAATTAAACCTTGCCTCTGAAACTTTCAAACATTCTTATGTTCCTTCATATTCCTATATTGCATCTGCACCAATTTTTTACATTTAGATTACTGAAATGTATGTGTTCAAACTTTGCCATAATAAATTAAAAAAATTACTACTTAAATTATATTTGAAAAAACTTCATTAACATCCAAACCATGAAATTTTTTATTTTAATTACTTATTTAAATATTTTTCATAAGATATTGATTTATAACGAATGTCAGAGTTGAAGTGTAATTTAGGAAAATATTTAGTATTTTATTTTGATTAAAATATAGTTTTAAGATTTTTTGATGTGTAAGTTTGGTGAAAGCCTATTCAATTAATTCAATCATAGTAGGTGATATTTTGTTCAAACTCTTACCAATTTTTACGAAATCTGACAATAGATTGAAATTGCAAAAACGGCACAATTTCCTTTCAAGTCAAGGCTAATAGATTTGCATAAATAGCGACCTAATTGACTCATTGTGGTGTAAGACACAGTAGCCATGGCTTTCACGGTGTCATGATCTATTCATCAGAATTGTGACAGGTCATAGCAATACTATATCACTAAGCTTTATCGTCATCTTAGTTATTTATCTCCCACTCAAATTATCAAGTGATTGAATAAGATCTTTCAACATCGTTTACATTTTTCGGTGGATTAAAAATCCGAAGGAAACTACATTATCACAATAATCATTATAATAACAAATTTCTGTGATAGATTGGGTACTGACAAAAACAAATATAAACTTTTTTTTGTTTAACTATGTTTATACGTTCGTAATAACTAATAGAAATGATCAATTACAAAAAATGACATGTCAAAAAATGTGGTTAACGATCAGATCTAGTATGGCGTTGTCCGATCGAGGATTTCCTTCAAATGTCAAGGTCAGGGACTCCATGATCTGACAAAACCAGCAAAAGAGAGCGGGCGTGGTCATTAATGTATTGTAAAATACATACAAGACATGTCCCATGAGTTTGTAGCCGATCCCTGTGTACATTATGCCCTGCTCCTTTGCGAAGGGGAAATCGTGGGAGCGGGGATTTGACAGTTACAGTCGAGTATATAAGAAGCTGCATGTACGTTCACCAGGAAGAACAACACTGTAGCCTCAGCGAGAGACAGCGAGTACTGGCATCCCAGCAGCGCACTGTGATTACAAAGGATTTATTTTAACAATCATCATGTCGAGTTTCTTGGTGAGTTTCTATTTGACTAAAAATTTCGAAAACTTTACCTACATGATTATCAAATCATTGAAAATTATTTATAAAACATCCACAGATTATTTTATTGGCTACAGTGGCCGTTTCTAATGCCGGATTTCTTGGACCTCAAGAATACATTCAGCCACAACATATCCAACCACAACACATTCAACCGCAAAAGTATGAACCACCAGCACCAGTAGGCCACGACGGCAATGTAATTGATACTCCAGAAGTAGCTGCAGCTAAAGCTGCTCATTTCGCTGAATTTGCTAGAGCAGCCGCACGTGCAGCTAAAGAAAAGGAAACTCCTGAGTCTTATCCAACCCACCAAACATATTCTCCTGCTCCAGTAGCTCCCGTAGCACCAGTAGCATCTCCAGCACCTCCTGCTCATAATTATCGATTCGCATCAGCTTCTCAGTACTCTCACGTACCAGAGCCCCATTATCGTCAAGAACCCGTCAGTAATCACGGTTTCATTCATCAACCAGTACAACAATTCTCCAATGCTTTACCTCATAAAGTGCCTTTCCAACCGGCACCTCTCGCTGAAGATGGCACTGTCATTGATACCCCGGAAGTCGCTGCTTTGAAGGCCGCTAGATTGGCTGAACTTGCTGATGCTGAAGCAAGAGCCTACAAAAATGCTGGACCTGCTCAAGAATATCCTGAAGATCAAGGTATATTTCATTAATAATTATTCAATTATAAATTTTCTTAATTAGAATCAATTACATGATAAAATTTTCATTGCTTTTAGGACATAATAGAGCTTTAGGATCTGTTCCAGTTCAATATAATCCAGCAGTTTACAACCAAGCACCTCATACCTTTACTCCTTATGGAAAAAGTGCAGTATACCAACCTGGTCCAGTTTACCAATCAAAGTTGTACCAATCTCAACAAATCTTAGGAAACTACTAAAATTCTAAATAGTGTCGTCATTTTTGTATTCATTGGAAAAAGTTATGTAAATAATCTAGACCAATAAATTTCTTTTTCTACAGATCAAAAAATAACATATTTATTATTATCAATCGATCTATTTTAGTTATTTAAAAATGCATATATATATCGTAGAAAAATAAAGAAAAAAAAATAATAACAATAACAGATGTCATAAATACAATTTTTATGAATGCCAACGCTTCACTTAAAACCACACTTCGACCTACTTAAAAATTCACTGTGGAAAGTTTATGATGAGAAATTAGTAAATGAACCACGAGAAGTGATTTATTAAAATGCACTCAACCATGAAAATCTTTCGAAACATTTTTTCAAATTTTTTTCCTTTTGTCATTTTATTGAAAAAAAAATTATTGAATACGTAAACAGAGAAAAAAGCTAGCTAACAACACTATTGAATATTGATTGCGTATAAAATTATCGACAAGAAAGAAAGTCGCGCCCTCGTGTTGTGGTTTTGTAGTAAACAATGTGAACTCTAGCATAAACCGCGATAATCGCGTAACTTGCTTGATAACATTTTTTATCGCTTGTTAGTATATACAATATTCATTCTTCCTTAATTATTACATATTTCTATGATATTGTGAAAAATTGAACGATTACCCAATTGAAAAATATGAAAAAAATTGACAGCCAAATCAATGAGATAATTTAAGGGAACATTACGCAAAATTGAATGGATGACTTTGTGCATGATATTCATATTGAACAGACAAAATCTTGAGTTGAGAGATTGAGGATTGAAAGTTGCGTCATAGGTCAATCATGAGGACGTGAGAAGGTACGCTAGCATGAGTAGAATAGGGAGAACTCGAGCATCATGATTTGTTCGAGTAGTGAGCAGTCGACGGAAAGGTCAGGAACTCTAGTTCGAACCTCTATCGAGGTTTTAAGATCAATATGGTAATGATCAGTACCTAATAAACGTCTCTTTACATCTATTATCATCTACTCACATGCTCTGATGTCATAAAGTTGTTTTTTTCAACACTACTCATTAAGTAATAATCCACATGACCTGCCCTATAACGAAGTTCTAACTTTATGATGATCATAAAATATAGTAGATCAAGACTTACCTTAAATTGAAGATCTGCAGTGAGATCTTTGTTTGTACATGACTGATGTGTACTCTCAAAAACTACGAAGCAGCATAGATCTTGTTGGTGGTTATTAATATTGATAATAATATATATGATATGAAATATAAGTATACAAGCAAGCAAAATGCCAATTGAACAAAACAATTGCTGATGTGGGTTCAATGAAATATCACAAAGCTGATGAAATAATCGGACTGAGAATAAGAAATGAATTTTAAGTACATATCTTGATGATAAAGACTAACGTAAATAAGTATTGTATAATAATTAAAATCTACGAGTAATTAGAGTTTTGTCTTATAGGGTAAAATGTGAACCACTTGGATGACCAGCAACCCACCACTAAAAACTATAAAAGCGCATGCTAGCTATTATAAAAGTTTATTCGTAACCAACACGCATTACTATCACTGCGGTTAGTGCTTCGTTAGTGCAAACAATAGACATGAGATTAGTTATTGTAAGTAGTTATAAATCATAAAACGGTTTGAGTTTGATTTATTCTTATATATATATAAGTATGAATTTATAGATCTGTCATAATTCTGTAGGTCCTATTGGCATTAATAGTTAGCCTGGTTAATGTAGAGGGGTACAATGTGTATGCTTATCATGGACCACCTGCTCCGCTAGCTAATGATGGCAAAGTTATTGAAACGCCGGAAGTGGCGCATGCTCGAGCTGCTCATCTTGCTGCTCACGCTGAAGCAATCGCTAGAATTGCATCTGTAGGCGATAACTGGCACGAAAAACATGAAGATGAAAAAGAAGGTAATGACATTGAAGAAGAGACAAATCAATTTGGAGATGATGGATTGAAACCAGTTTATCGAGGACCACCAGCACCTTTAGGAAAGGATGGTCGTGTTGTTGACACACCCGAGGTAAAATCTATTGTTATCTTTTCTATTTTTGTTAACAAGAAAATAAGCCTTCAATTTCTTTATCACACTCTAGTCATGCAAAAATTTCATTTTAGTTTAGTTTAATAAAAATTATGTAAATTGAATAAAATATATTATTATTTTCATAGTGAAAATTCCAATAATCAGACACGGAATGTTTTTAATTAGAATTTTTGTTACGTCTGCATATAGAAAAAAAAGTGTTAAAAAGAAAATGAAAAAAAGTGTGTTCAGAGCAAAATTTTTGTTGAAAATGTTTTCCATTTTATCGCGTTCTTATGTTATAATCAATGGTTATGGAATCTTTGGTATCTAAAAAGAAGTGAAAATATATTTAAAAATATTCAAATGAGCTGATAATTATACTAGATATAAAAAAATAATTAATAATAAAAATTTCTCACATTTGATTTAATTTTTAAAAAATTTTTCGAATTGTCATTGCTCTAGACACCAATTAAAAAATATAAACAATAAAATTACACATCAGATAAATTAATTGGTGGAAATTAATTCGCCGCATAATAAAAGCTTAAAAATATTATGCAACTTATTTTCCATGAAAACTTTATAAATGAGGAGGTAAATTAACTCAAACTTAATTAATGTTGTTTTACTTTAAAGGTTGCACATGCAAAAGCTGTTCATTTAGCAGCTTATTCAAAAGCATACGCAGCAGCACCCAAAGAAGATGAAAAACCAGAAGGAAAAGTTTATGGGGAAAATCATGATCATGAAAATGAAATTCCTGGACATCTACCATATCTTTATTATTATCCCAAAAAGTACAAAGGCCCATTAGCCCCACTTGCACCGGATGGCCGCGTGATAGACACACCCGAGGTTGAGCACGCTCGTTCTGCTCATTTACATGCACTTGCTCATGCACAACAATTAACGAGTACTGATCATCATTCAAATTTGGAGCATGTTTAAAATATATGTACCATTTGAGGCATTTTTTTCAATACAAGACCGTGTAAAACTTTATTGAACAGCTCTTAAATAATCATGAAATATGTAAATAATAAGTATACAATGTATTATTCTGACTTTTGAAATTATTTTGTTTCAAGTGTTAATAATTTTTTCATTATGTTTTACATGATTTATTATAATGAATAAAATCTGTTAATATCAATCAACTTTGTATGTTAATTATATACCTTGAATCTTATTTATTTGTCAAAGAGATTGCGGAAAAGGATATGCACAACAATCAATTGATTTTACTTCCTTCTTATAATGTAGAAATTCCTTGTCAAGCATGAATAGCTACGACCTTGTCAATACGACAATGCTAACAGACGTGATAAGTGAACCGATTAATTATCAGACAGACGATTAGACATACATAATAACAAAAAATCTTGATGACATAACTGTTAATTTAAAGTTTTTGTTGATCATTTAAAAGATGATACTATAAAATTAGGTAACTGATGGAGAAAAAGTTTTTTGTTCTTTTTTCATGGCGATCAAGAAATTTGAAAAATTTATTAAGAATTTTCGGAATAAATTTGATGACGAAAAGTTTCAAAAAGTAATACAAATAAACACTGCAACATTTTTGGAGTTTAAAAATTTAAATAAACTCAATGTTATTTTTTGAGGTAGAATGGTGTTACTAAAAAAATACTCATTAAATATGACCTCACTGATCATGTATGAATATTAATATAAATCGCTCTGTTACATAATTAATATTGATTATTCCAAGCTGGGCCATCCCACGCGGGATTATAAGCACCTGAGTCATAATCCACGTGAGGAGGGTATGCAGCAGATGCAGGAGCAGCGGGAGCATGTTGAGCAGCAGCATTGAAGAGAGAGAAGTGGTGAGCTTTCGCTGCTTGGACTTCAGGAGTATCGACAACCCGTCCATCTGGACCCAAGGGTGCTGGTGGTCCCCTAAGTTGAATATTATCTTTATTAATAAATTTTTTTAATAATAAATATAAATAATAAAAGAAAATAAAATTAAAAATCAGTCTAAATGGTAGCATAAATGATAAAGTAATAGTCATCAGTCTTATATTAGAAAAGGCAACAATGAATGATTCGTCAGCGTACTGGTACCGTGGTCCATATTGAGCAGGAGCGTAAGAGGGATTAGGTCCATTCCAGACATCATTATAAGAACCATCATGGGGATCATATCCAGCAGCAGGTCCTTTAGGAGCACGAGCTGCAGCTTCAGCTAGTGTTGCAAGATGAGCAGCTTTCAATTGTTGGACTTCCGGTGTATCCACTACTCGGCCATCAGGTCCTAGAGGTGCAGCACCACCATGCGGAGTTGCATAACCACCATGATTGGCACCGTAAGCAGTATGAGGTCCTGGATACCACTGAGGAGTTGCCAAAACAGCGCTGAGCCCAGCAATGAAGATAATCTATAATTATTAGTCAAAGTAAACAATATTTTCTGACTGAGCAATTACAGAATTTACAATAGCTAATGCAATAAGATAATTGTTTCAGGATGAGATCTTACCAATTGAAACATGGCTGTTGATTTACTGGTGATCGAGACGAAACTGCAACAGCTGCAGCTGCAACTACATACTTTGTCTTAGCTTTGATCCTTCAATTTATAGAGATTCGCTTCTATCAAGTTGCCCCACCCAATGATTCTGCGACACACCCAGAACATAATGCTCTCCTTCCTAAGCCCTACCCCGTAACATTTAACGCTCTAAGCACGTAGGTAACCTAGTGGTCATCGAATTTTTATATCACCACAATGCTTTGCAAATTCCAATATTTTCTGCATAATTGTTTAATTTTTTTATCGACTTCCCAATTATTAAATTTCAATTTCCTCAATTGCATTAGCATAACATTCCAGAAACGCTGATGATGGGATAATTGGTATTTCTATAAATTTCATTGAATGTGAAATAAATATTATGTTTGAGTATCAATAAACTTTATCTGATCATTTCGATTAAATTGATTTTTTTATTATTTTATTGGATTTACTTGATTTATTTAAATGAATTATCTAATAAAATTTTTACCAAATCAATTTCAAAGGACCTTAGTGGGTTTATTTTCATTTCATTGTTTTAATTTAGTTGATCATTAATAAATCAATATTTTTATGTAATGTAATCTATTGATGAAGATTGTGTTCAATATTTCAATGTATTATTTTACCTTTTTGGATGATTTATTTAACTTATAATTCATAATTTGATGATGGTGTAATAACATTACAACATTTTTAAATATTTTTTTTTTTTTTTGATAAAGCGAACCGTTAAAGGTGTGGACTGATCTGATTAATCACATACTCAAATGATAATAATTAATAAGACCTTGCATTGAGGATAAGAAGAAAAGTAGAGAAAGAAGTGAGAGGGAGATGTGATCAAGGTTCACTTTTTTTATTTTGTTACTACTGAGATTTGTACAGTAATGACAATGGTAAGGAGACAACAGAAAAAATGATAACTGATACGTGCAGTAGGAGAGCCAACGTGAAAGAAATTGTCGCAATTGTTTAGATGTTGAAATATAATGTCGTTGTTAGTTATATCCTGGTTCGTCGATCTGTAAAACATGTTGGATACAAAAGCTACTTTGTGATAAATTTTAATACATAAGACAATTAATTCTTATACAGTAGCAGGCTGGAACAACTTATGAACATTAGTAGGTTGACAAATCGTTTGGTCAGTTTGTTACGAGAAAACTTTACATAAAATTGATTTGTAACGATAATAAAAATTACTAAGAGTTGAGTGGTTACCCGCCTGCTATTACTATGCGTTTGACATAATGTAATCATTGTGATAGATTACGCAGGATTCAATTTGATCTCGGTTCAGATGTCGTAAGATCAAACTTTAGTCTATTGATCGATTGATGGAATTTAGAGATTGTGAAAGATTACGTGGGCATTGTCGAATCGAAAAAAAATTTTATATTATACAATTCTATCGATAAAAAGTTGTCAAGTGCTTAAAGTTTCTGTTGATATAAGTTAAATAGTAAAGAACAATGATGATATTTTTATTTAAATGACTTCCACTAGTACTGAAGAACAACTATAACTAATGTCTATGATGTTTACAAAAGTTTCCTTTAAATTATTAAGAGAAATTTATCTCACCCTGATTCTTGTATTTCTTTCGTTTTGTTTCAATTTTTTTTTTTTAGTGAATAGTAAAAAAAAGAATTTATCAGAAAATGATTACAATTATTTACAACCAACAGGCTAAATAAACTTTTCATTTTACTCCATAAACATAAGTTTGAATCAATTTAAGTCAGTTAATTTAATGCTCCACTATTAGTAGATTCAACAATTTATTAACAAATAAATTAAATTAATTAGTATGAGATAAGTGAACTATTGTCAATAATGTACTATTGGGAGTAAAAGAGCAAACAAAAGATAATCATTGATTGAAATAATTGTAAATATTCTCTTCATTACTTAAACAATATGAAATATGAACAATTAATACTGGTTAAATTCACTGAAATGCTTATATTCATATGTTACATTTTATCTTTAATATTAAATTGAGTATATCAAAGAACTATTTATTCAATGACCACGAAGAAAAGTGCTTTTAGAGATCAATTTAAATAAATTAATAATTTACTATTAATTGAGATAATAAACTGGATGATATAATTATCTATTATTTTACAGCTTTTTTATTTGAATAATATAATTTTATTTTACCATTGTATATTGATGAATTTTACAATTTTTCCTAAAGGCTTCAAACTTTCTATATTTTAAATGTCAACGACTCATCTATTACAATAGTAATCAGACGAATTTATTAAATATTTACAAAACATCAATTTCTTATAATTTTCAACGAGTTATACATTAAAACTATCTTTGAATCAAGTTTACTTAAAATTTATCATCAAAACATTTCAAAACTAATTTACGATAGTGATATCTCTTCAAATAATATTACGACTTAAATGTTTTATATAATTAAGTATATAATATTCTAATACTAATGATTAGAAAATGTATCGTTTAATTATCTAATATTTTAATTACTTTAAATAAATGTCTGTCTTAGGATTATGAAGATATGGTTTATGTGAAATTTTTATGAAGGAGTTTCCCGTTCCTGAGTAAGAAGCTTGATATTTAAGTATGATAAACATTGTATATCGTATTTATTCAAGCCTGATAATAAACAAGATGGTATTAGGCACGTACAAATTGAAGGTTTCAATTTTATAATCTACAAAGCAGGCAAAATTAAAAAAAAACAACCTTGAAGTAAATATACTCATCTTGGCATGTAGTGACGACAAAATTTCCTCACACCTAATGGATGAATAATACCTGTGATTCCTATCTCTTTTAAGTATACGGGCAGCCTAATACAGGGAAATTTTACTTAAAACTTTTGGGGCAAAAATAATACTTGGCTCAAAATGACTAATATTCTACATGATGGAAGCCATATTGGTTTTCTCAGGACACTTGCATATATAAACGGTAAACTTCATGGTCAATGTCATAGTCTCATCGTCAGTCCAAAGAATAACACTCGATAGCACCATAATGTTATTCTCGCAGGTAACTACTTTTCCCAATCATTCAATCTACTTTATTTTCATCAGTCATATGTAATATTGAACTTTGTTTTTCTTGTGAATTAATTGAATTTTCTAGATCATTAATCAATTTGTGATTTTTCTGTTTCTACAGATTTTGTTTTTGTCCTTTGCTGTCAGTGCATGGACAGCACCACATTCAGCGATAAAATATTCTTCATCTGTAAACGAAGGAGGTCCTGAACCAATTCCATCGGATGATATTACTATCAATGATCAGACAATTAGTGTCACAAAGCCACTAAAGCCCATCGCAGAAGTTTTAGATCCATATCACCGAGGAATTAAAGTTATTCATACAATTGCTAAAAAAAACTTCTATGGATTGTCCAAAAAATTATCTCAAATAAATTCATCACCTATGCGATATCAAATAAATCCTACTAAAAATCTTATCAATTCAAGAGTGAGTGCACCTTTTCTACTGTTCCAACGAAGACCATTATATGTAGTACCTTTAAGTGTTGTTCAAGGACAATTAAGTTCTTCTTCATCAGTTCAGTCTTCAAACCATCCATCAGATGGGAATCGATTGACTCAAAAAACTATGAAAAATTTAATCCAAGGATTTCTCTCAGCAATAACCAACCAAGATAACGTAAAAAGTACTACAGTTAACCCAGAACTCAGTGACGAATTATCAGAATCTGGTGAAAATCAAAGTGGATCAACAATGACAACGTCGACGACTGAAGATTTACAGACAACGACAGCTATACCAACCGAGTTTGAATCCACTACTACTTTTGAAACGACATCTGAGATTCCTACTACAAAAAGTAAAGATGAAGAAATGATACTTTCAACTATTCAACCAGAATTACTGGATCAAAATGCAGAAATTGATGAAGCCGTAGCTTTTAATATTGACGGTGGTAATATTTCATCAACTCAAGAGAGTGCTACCCAGTCACCGAAGATCAATAAGGACAACTTTTACGTAATTTACGGAAGACCCACATTGACAAAGAAAGATAATTCGTTGTTATTAAACGCAAATATTGGAGTGGCAGTGTCTTTAAATGGATCGAACATTGACTGAAGTTGTTGTAAAAGTTAATAATAATTGCAGTGACTCAAATAAAAAAGTTTATAACAATCTCCAGTAATTGACAGAATTCCAAAAATTGTTATTGAAACATTTACTATGTATATTTATTTTTTTTTTAGTATCTTTTTTAGAAATTTTAAAGTTGTATTCTTACAATAGATAATTTTAATTGAATAAACCAAGTCATTTCATAATTTTGTGATGATTCATTCTCATTTATTCTCTTAATAGATATTATTAGCTCATAATTTTATCACAATATCAATTAAACATATAATGTTCCGAAAGAAATTGAAAAGTTCATTTAAATAGGAATAATTTATAGCTCGTCATGCTTTTTAACTAAAAGCTCATAACCCCTGGCAATTGATGGGTTTCCAGTAAGAAAAAAAGAAAAGCATTAATCATTAACTGATTATATAATTTCGATCTAACGTTTCGATAAGTTTGTTTGATTATCTATCTGTAATATTTCTACATACATGATTATGATAATTATAAGTCATTCAATATGATTCTTGTATAACACTTTTTCCTGGTCAGATGGGCATTGACATCAATACTTTAAGGAGCTATTAATGTGATCCTAAAGTGTTTATAATATACAATAGACATTCCGGAGCAATATCCGCCTCCATTGTGCATAGCGAGGACACACCTTGGTCGTAGTCTTTTTATTTTGCATTCATGAATGAACCTTCGTTAAAAAATAGTCCGCCTTTTTTCATTGTAAATTTCCTTGCACTTTCAATATTCTTCAAATTTTTTAAAATTGGTTTTCATTAATTGCTCCAGTCTTGCAATAAACATTACTGATTATTTGTAATGGAAGATTGGAGAGTGGTGAATCGGGCTTGCTGGAATCACGAGAGTTCCAAAGATAGAGAAGCTTTGTTTCGTCATATACCCAGAGCAAACTTATTATTAGCCATGATATTGGATGATATATCATTAAAACACCTAAGCAACTTAGTAAACACTTGATTGATATAAGTATATATGAGGATTTTTTAATTAAGCTTTATAACTTATACATATCGACTTTTAAATGTAAACACAAATTAGTGTCGCGAATAAATGACACGCCTTGATTATTTTTCCATGTTGTAATCGTAATGCGAGAAATTAAATTTAAATTACCATCTACCTGATAACTTGAGGATGCAAATGCTCTAGATTCCACAAAACCGATTTGTTCATCACCCTTGCGTGCAACCACCCAACGGATCATATTATTTCATCAGTTCAAGAGCTACGTTGATAAATAACATACTATATGAATAATTGAAGATGTAAAAGCTAAAATGAAAAAAAAATTTATTCTTGTTACGATGAATACGCGTTACCGGTAGGTCGAACGATTACCTCATAGCAATATAAAAACTGTACTTCCATTATTACGCCTACGAGACTCTCCCGAAAGGAAAGGCACGATCCTACGCGTTGCAAGAAGTTTTAGTTTATATTAAAGTTAATCTTTTTCTAATTAACTTGAAATGGAAATGATGAACGAAACTTTTGAAATTATAAATCAGCTAATTATTTACCAAATAAATAAATAAATAAATAAATGGAAACTTTTACAAGAAGTATTACATTGTTAGTTCATTATCAATATTTCCTGATTAACTTCTGAATTTATTATTACGGTATAATTCATTGATGAGAATCGCAATATTTAAAATACAATCAACTGTTTTTGATTTATATCAAAATACAAGTGCATTATCTATAAGCTTTAGATAAAGGTTATAAGTGAAATGTTTGCAGTAATAACTCTATAATTCAATTACTTATATACCAAGTAGTTTTATATGTTTTTTTGAAAAATAATTCAATGCTTTGTTATCAACTCATTGTTATTAATTAAATTAGAGATTTTTTATATAAATATATTGAATATTTAAACGAATTCTTAAATTATGTTAAATTAGTTACTTTAAACTGTAACATTTAAAAAAAGTATTCAATGAAAACTTGTTTTTATGGATTTTTTTAGATGTTTACTTGAAGTTGAACATTACTAACTCTATAGAACTATAAGTGACAAAACAATTTGTCAGTGATTCTACAAAAAGTAAATGATCACCGAGGACGTACACTCTCATACAGCCTTCACTCATCTTATTATGTAGTTCATTTAAGTACCTCGTATTTCCGCTGGTTTTGTAGTCCAATCTCTTTCTCTTAAACCTTTATAACATGCTTTCCCTCTCGTTTCATTAGAAGAATTACATTTCTCAGATAGGTACACCGGTTAATTACATCAAAGATATTCAGGGCACAAATTCTTACAAATTCATTGAGAATGAGACAAAATTCCAGGGTCGACTAGTCATTATAATAATTATTTCTAGGATGAAATTAATGCTTCTAATCCTTAATGACATAATGAATGCCGATGTGTATCATATGAACATCGAGAAATGTAATAAACCATCCCTAATATCTTTCCATGACCTCATTTCTACCGAATTGACTTACTTAATAATCCTGTTGTCAAACAATCACTCGACTAATACTCTTCCGATTTCACTTTTTATAATGCTCGTATTACAGTTGAAAAAGTTAATTTTAATAATGTAGATACCAAGGAAAATTTTGAAACAAATAGTTATGACATGTGGATTAGTATCAGCAGAATTAAAATAAATCCTTTCACCCAGAGAACTTTTACTTTGACCTCGTGAGTCTGGTGGTGAATTGAGAAGGGCATAAGTATCAAAGTATCGATGAGGTCGTAATGCACCTGTTAGAGTTGTAAGAACCAATTTCAGGGTCTTGTCAATATAATGTCAATGTCAATATGTTTTGGATGGAACGCTTAGCATGGGATTTATCTCCCCACTAAAAGGTAACTCCCTACCAGATTGCCATATATACATTATATATAAAAGGGTACACCAACTTGGTACAGCAGCAGTTTAACTGTCAGCGAGTACTGGAAACCCCAGCAGCGCCGACACTAACGAAAAAAAATGAAGTCCTTCGTAAGTAGATTAATTACTTTTAATTAATAGTTAAATAAAAAAAATAAGATTACCTCCAATGAAACTGGATTAAAGCTCTTGTACTAACACTGTTTTATAGTCTCCAATTAAAATATTTATATTCTTTCCAGAAACTTCTATTAAAGTTTCATCGTAAAAACAATCTTAAGACATTGACATCATACTTGCTTTTATTACTTACCATAATAATGAAAAAGGGAAATTAAACATGAAATTTTTTTCCTGGTTTTTACTTTCCAATGCGTTAATTCTACATAACACACGCGATATATCAAATATTATCTACAAAAAGCCAATTGCTCTGTAAATTTGTAAAGAAACCCAAGTGAAACTAACATATCAAGGAATATAAATAAACAAAGTGTTGTAAATTATTTAATATTATATTTACAGATTGCTTTGTGTGCTTTCCTCGCCGTTGCTTCAGCAAATCCTGGATATCTTTTAGGATACCATCTAGGAGCACCACTCGGTCATGATGGAAGAGTAGTAGATACACCAGAAGTGGCACAAGCTAAAGCAGCTCATTTAGCCACTCTCGCTAAAGAAGCAGCTAGAAACACTTATGGACATGGATATGGATATTATGCACCTGCATTATCTTACGCTGCTTATCCGCATGTTGAACACATTTATGCTCCAGTTGCCACGCATCACGGACCTCCTGCCCCACTTGCAGCTGATGGACGTGTGATTGACACCCCTGAGGTAGCTCATGCCAAAGCTGAACATCTTGCTGCTCACGCAAAGGTTCATTTTCCTTTTATACGTAATGGTGTATTAAAATTTAAAAGTCAATGATTTGAAAATAACTAAATGACATGTATATATTGCGTTATATTTCTAGGAAGCTGCAAAAACAGGAGGAATTCCTTACGGAGCACTTGCTTACTCTTACGCACCTGTTTACACTTACGCCTATGGTTGGCCTCATGGAGGATCAGCTCCCCTTGGACCTGATGGCCGAGTAGTTGATACACCCGAAGTTGCTCATGCTAAAGCTGCTCATCTTGCTGCCCATCACGCTGCCACAGTTCACAGTCACCATTAAAAATTTTTTTGAGACTAATTGATATTTCTTTTTACTTTATTGAAAAAATTCCATTTCTGTTTATCAATAAAGAATAATTTAATTTCCTAAAATGATTGTGTTTTTTTTTATCGTATTTACTATTTCACTACAATATCAGTTTAAAAGGAAGAAAAGTAATACGAAGTTTAGAAAAAATGAAAATTTTTATTTAATTAATCTTCCTATTAATTGGAACCACTTAGTTTATTTATTTCTAGAGATTTTCGTGCCATTGTTAAAGCGCCTTCTTTCGTTTTATTACCACCAATAAATCGTTCATTATGGACAAATACACATCCTTCAATCCCTGAAACACGACATAATTCTTGGTCTCTGAGACCTGCCCATTCTTTTGGTAAAAACATTCTGCAAATTTATCATTCTTAGTTAACATGGAAGTTTGTTTTAATGGATGATAAAATGAGATAAAGTTTTTTTTATTTCTTACCGACAAACAAAACTTCCCATAGCAATCGGAATGGCTTGAACTCTCCAATTATTAGCGTTGAATATGACATACTTAATAGTTGGTTCGATTTTCATAGCCTTTTCAAATTCAAATAAGAATTCTTTCCAAGGTGCAGCTTTTATTAATTCCATTATTTCCCCACTTGGATCGATCTAAATATTTCGTTTTTGAATTTTTTTTTTAAAGTAGACTGAAATCATTAAGAATATTTTTACCTCAAATCTCTTTTCAATTGAAGCACGAATGATGTTTCGTGCAGGTAACCAAACGCTTGCAGAATTTTGAATAAAGTATCGTAATTCTTCTCCGCATAACTTCATCGCTTTCATGAATTGTGTATCAGGGTCAGCATCTTCCGTATTCCACTCGGGATTTAATCTTCCTACTCGCGCACTCAAATTTGTTACTATTCTATATCTGTAAATGATTAAAATTGATTAAAAGCTTTTTCTTATGTTAAAAAAGAACTATAAATATAGATTACAAACATTGTTTGGCATACTTACTTTGGTTCACCATCAAACATTGATACTCCATTATCAATAGCATCAACTTCTTTGATGAGTGTATCATAAACTCGTCTGAAAATAGCATGAATGTCTTTTTCATCTAGAATTTCAGAAACAATTTGTTTGATAATTCTATGGCCAAAATGACAATAAATGAGTCCAGCACTACTTAATTTAATGTCCCATGGACAATCTTCTCGCTTTAATACAGAACTAGCTGTCTCAGTGAATTCTTTCATATGATGATCGTAACGATGTTTTAATGGATTGTATTCACCTCCGACATCTACAACTATATCACATGTATCAAGAATTTCCATATCCCTCGATCTAAAAAAAATTCATAATAATAAATGAATTAAAAATATTATTTAATTACAAAATGAATAAATCTTTGCGAATATTTAAAACTGACTTACCTAATGATTTGAGCATCTTTATACTCTGGTAACTGTTTCAACATAAAACATGCGAGTACTTCATCACAATGGAAAGTTCCACTATGGGTGCCAATTTTTTTCGTTAACGACATGTTAGAAAATGTACGGAATATTTCTTTTGATTGAGTATTAGACGATTTCAATAATTTTATATTAAATGTAGCTTGATAAATGAGTCGACTGCTTATATTGGTAAATATAAACTGGAAAAGTTAAAAACAATATTAAGAGGAGAGAATTCTTATCCAATTCTACTATTTTACATGTAATAAATTAGTTTAATGTTAGAAATTTATTTTTTCTTGGAAATGAATTTGATAAAAAATTTAATTAAATACTTGTCATTGAAATAATTTGATTCTATAATTTTGTAAAATTTAAAACTTTTAACAACTTAGATGAATCATACTTACAGGATTTAAAAATGTTTTTTTAAATATTGAGTTCAATGGTTTCATTAAATTTTATTCCAGCATATGTGACAAAATAAAGAAAAGGTTAATTTTAACAAAAATAAAATTGACTTTAAAGTGACGAAATAAAAGGAAATAATTTTAAAAATTTGTGCTAATGAAATAAATATCTTTCAATATTTTGGAATTATTCTATGACATTTTTAGATATTGTAGTCTGATTAATTTTTAAAATTTTTTACTTTCTCTTTTATAAATCACACAACTATCGTAGTAAACACATGCACGATCAGCTGTTTGGATCACGTGATCTGTGCTGAACTCGTTGAATACGCTTCAGAAAAGAGAGAACAGTATAGAAGTCCAATGCTGTGTTAAAAATCCGGACGAAGTTTCGGTCAACATGTCGGTAATCTCAGGTGGTCACAACATAAATGTTTCTGTGAACCCATCGAGCGATGGCGCTGCAACGGTTTATTCTAGCCACGCCCCTTAATCTAAGAGAGAAAAGAGATAAGATTTGTGTTCTCTTTTACTCTCATTATAAGAATCCTAAGCCACTTTATTTTCAAGTACAAATTCTTAAATGAAAAAGGTCCAGCTCTGTTCGCAACATACATAGAATCTATAAAACCGATTCGATATTTTTGTACTGTCCACTGCAGCATAGCTTTGTTTTTTGCCTATAACTCACGATATATGAGAGGTACGGGGACCACAAGCATGTCAATGTATTCCCGAGATCGAGAGCTTTCGAATATTAACTGAAAGTTGGTTGTGATATGTATTGAAAATTATTCATTTGTTTTGTATATTTTTCCTATTTTTATTAATTCATTATTTGTATATGATAAAAGGAAGATGTTTAAGAATATTGTTATTGGAATATCTGGAGGTGTTGATAGTGCTGTGGCAACTTTTTTATTAAAAAAAAAAGGTAACATTAAATTATTAAATAAATGTTTTAAATTTGTGAAATTAGAATTTGCAATTAATTTTATGATAGAATATTTCGTATACATTTGCTTTTTTTAGGGTTTAATGTAACAGCAGCATTTCTCAGAAATTGGGATACTGCTGATGAAACAGGTAGATGTTTGATAGACGAAGACTTAAATGATGCTGAATATATTTGTAAAAAACTGGATGTACCTTTAATTGAAGTGAATTTTGTGAAGGAATATTGGAATTATGTTTTCAGGTTTTGTATGAAGAAGTTATGTTGTTGTACAATAACGTATATGTTGCTTAATAGATTAATATAAATAAATTTCGTATTTCAGTTATTTTTTAAATACTTATGAAAATGGTGATACTCCGAATCCTGATATTATGTGTAATAAAAATATAAAGTTTGATTTATTTTATAAGTATGCAAGAAACGTTTTAAACGCTGATGCAATTGCAACTGGACATTATGTTAATACATCTTTTGGACCCTACCTAGAAAACTATCAATCACATACAAGTAAAAATTTCACAAATAAAGAGCTTAATATGTACATCATTTGATGTAAAAAATTTATAACATCAATCTTGTTTTCATTTGTAGAAGTCAAATTACTCAAGGGCATTGATAACGTGAAGGACCAAAGTTTTTTTCTGTCCCAAGTTCAACAAGAACCTCTTCAACGATGTATGTTTCCTTTGGCATACTATCGTAAATTTAAAGTTAAACAAATTGCCACTGAAATAGGTTTGAAAAGAATAGCGGAAAAAGATGAAAGTATGGGAATATGCTTTATTGGGAGTCGAAAATTTCAAAAGTTCATACCTGAGGTAAATTAAATGTTTATTTAATTCTAAAGATAGCTCAAGATAATTTTATTGAGATGATTAAAGTACATAGAAGATAAACCTGGAAATTTCATCGATTATGATACGGGCAAAATTGTCGGGAAGCATCAAGGATTTCATTATTGGACCTTGGGGCAAAGAAGTCGTATAAGTGGTGTTGCAAAGCCATATTTTATTTATCGGAAATTGAAAGATACTAATGATATACTTGTAGTAAGTATAAAATGATTTACAAATAAATATAAAATATAAAATTATCAATAAATAAAAATATTTTATATTTGTAGGTTCAAGGAACTAATCACCCTTGTTTATACTCTTTAATGGCTATTACGTCTGAACCTCATTGGATTTGTGAAGAACCTTCCGATCTAAAAAATAGTAATGCAGTATTTCATTGTGATTTTAAATTTCAACATGCTGAACACTTGGTACAATGCAAAGTATTTCAAACTCCATCACGAAAATTAATTATTTCAGTAGATAAACCTAAGAGAGCGATTTCATCAGGACAAGTGAGTTTTTAACACCTTTTCCTCGAAAAAAAAATTTTCTTTTACAATTTCTTATGTTTATCATTCAATTTTCTAGTTTGCTGTTTTATACTTGAATAATGAGTGCTTAGGAAGTGCACCAATCATAAATGCTGGACCTTCATTATTGAGTTTAGGTAAAACTTTGTCTGATTTTAATGATGACCATGTAAATAATAATGATGATACAAGAAGTAACATGGTTATCGAGAATAACTAAAACAGTGTATCTATAATCTAAAATTAAATGTAAAGAAGCTAATTATAAATTATTTTTAATTAATTAAATAATTGATAATTTTTTAGTTTATTTTTTTTGCGTTGAAGCTTTTTTTAAATTCAAAGACTCCATCCAACTAGCTTTGGTAACTTGAATACTTTTTGTTGTTTCTACTTTGAACTTATTGCCTTCATTTTTCCCAATAAATTTTGTATGGTTGTTTGAATATTTTCCACATATTTTATCATCAACATCTAATTCTGGAGCATTTAATACTAATTTTGCGTCGTTATCTTCAGGTATTGTTAGATGAATTGGACCATTTGAAATCAGTTGAGAATCATCAGTAATTCTCACAATTTGAATTTTCGTTGATCCCTCTTGTAAATTAGCTTTAAGTGATCCATCTAAACAAGCTATGAAAAAATACAAAAGAAGAATTACTTTCGATTATTGATTATTTCGAATTGAACATTGCTACGACTCTAACTTATTTCGAGCGATCCGTTTCCATTGATATCAACTGTTGAATCCATGTGCAGATTATTAAGATGTATATTTCCATTATTTGAAGTAAACGTTGCCTTTTCACAGTAATTACTTCCTAGATTAATATCCCCATTCTCTGTAGATATATCTAGTGTATTTCCTAGGCATTTTTCAGTCTTAACAGCCTATAATTAACGAGCGTTAATATTCATATAAACATCATTCTATTTTATATAATTATTCTTATGTAATGATGAAGAAACTATACTCCATCTTTTGCGGTGTTTATTTCGATATTTCCTTGGGTTGCTTTTTCCAATGTTACTGATCCTCCCTCACTCGATGAAAAAACTATTTTTTTACATTGAAGTTGAGACCCTTTGATGTTTCCAAATTCTGTTTGAACGTTGATATAATTTGAAACCATGCCAGATATAGTTACATCGCTTTCTTTAACTGTTTTTGCATCAATATCTGGAAATTGAAATATTTTTATAATAGCTAAATGTAATGAATTTCTCATTGAATAATTTGTTGAAAATTATACTCAATGGTGAAGTGTAATGCAAAAAATGAAATACTATGATAATGATATAATACTGAATACAACATATTTTAAATTTTGTAATATAATATTTCAACATTAAGAGAATCTATTCAAGATGTTAATTATTATAGTAGAATTATTGTAGCGATAAGTAGAATTATAGCTTTTGTAACTGCTTAGCATAAATAAAATTAACGTTGCTGTTTTAAAAAGGAAAAAGTATTATTTGAATAATATATATTACCATAACTCACTGGTGCTTCAATTAAGCACGTAAGATCATTTACATTGTAATCATTATCTATAGCATTTATTTTACAAACTCCAGAAACATTAACTGAGATAAATTCTTTGTTTTTATTGTTTTTTGTTATTGATCTTCTTGAAAATATTTTAACCATTAAAGTATCCATATCAGAATACTCATGTGGATCCGTTGGTTTAATCATTACATTGTACGGTAAATCAACGATTAATTTGCCAAATGAATCAACTTTTTTTGTAATATTTTGTAAATTGACTGGTTTTGATGAACACAACCTCACAATTGTTGATCCTGATTTCATAAATGAAATATGATACGACCAATTTTTAACATATAACCAGCCTCTTTTTATAAAAGTTTTTGTTAATAATTCCATTTTTAAAAAATTTCCTTCAATTAATTAACTTTATTGTAACATTTGTTAGAACAATCGTGTGCAAATTCTACATTTGACACAACGTACTTAATCAGCTGATTTATCAAAAAATTTGAATAACGGAAATTACGACTTTAATCAAAAGTAATTCTAAAAGTGCCCAAAAGAGGCGCAGTCATACATCCGGTCGAATGCTTCATTTTCGCGGTTTAGCGGACAAAGAATTTCATGTTGTTGTGTACTTGAGTATACATACATTTTTCATTTCACGCTAATTAATTTGTATATAAGAATTTATTTATAGTTTTCAATATTATATCATAACTCACTCTGATATTTATTTATTGAATTTTTATGTGTACACACATAATAGCGAATATCCCAACGAAAAATCGTTTAGTTTTTATTTATTTTTTTATCGTAAATTATCATTCTATCATTAACTATTACATAAAGACAACGTATAAATTGAAGTCAATAATTTATATGATAATAAATAGGTAATAATTAAGAAGAATAAATCATAATTAAACACGTAAGTATAGTATTTATGTTTTGAAATAAAAGATTTATTGATGATAACGTAAAGTATAAATTGTTAAACATTAACGTAAAGGTAAATGGAAATTATCAATTGCGCCATAAAATTTGAATGACTTTTAGCTATGGCGATGTTTAAAGTTTAAGACATAATGAAACCTTGGAAATTCATTCACTCAAATGTATAGAGAGTATTTAGTGAAAAAATTAAGATTTTATAGATTTATTAGTCTATTGAATGTATTTAACAATAAGATTTTTGTGATTACAAATAATCCTTTATTTTAGGTATAGTTTGATAGCCAGGACGTGACAAGGGCATTGGAAATTGTTCTATGCCTCCACCTCGTCCTCCTTTATTCTTTTTTCCACCCATTCTGGTTTTTCCTGAAATAATAACATAAAAGTAAATTATTATTTGCAATATAATATTAAACTGAAAACAGGGAAAAGCTTCTTGCTACCTATATTTGCTACATAATAAATAACGACTTCATAAAATAATTATGAGGATATACTAAAAACAAATTATGCTTTAAGAGAAGTAATTAGAACTTGAAGTATTAAGATTGCATGCTAGAGAAAGCAAAAATAGTACTGTTAGTTAATATTGGTAAACCCACTCTTTATAATTAGAGATTATATGCTAATTGTCATGGGTTTGATTAAAATTAATCAGTTCAATTTATTGATAAGATTTCAATGATCTATACATCTAGTATATTTGTTACTTGATAGTCTAGTGAGTATTGCACAGATTATTATATGAAAGATAGATATAAAGAGTTTACTTACATGATACGAGAGGTTGAAAGAATAGAGAATGAGAATGTGTCTAATATAAGTTATATATAGAGCAGAAGTTTATTTACAGTAAAACAGCAGCTCAAGCTTTTTATAAAATTTCAGTTGGTTTCGAAGAAGAAAATGTTAAAAAATCGAAAAAAATTTAATCACATGCCAATTTGTTGAAAATTTTATCAACTAATTTTGTTATTTGATGAATTTTACGTGATCTAAATAATTAATATAAATAAGATATTTTATTTAAAAGAAATTTACGACATTACGTTGCTCATTTTTGTCATAAAATTAGAAAATTATGAGTAAAATGAAACACATTAGAAAATATATATTTTTTGTTCATATGTATTTGTATTAATCAATTTAAGTATCAAATCATCCTCTCTTGAAGTGGAGCTTTACTTCTTCTGCCATTCTGCTTTTTCGGATTTCTTGGGCTATTAAGAAGAATGACATAGAATTCGATAAACTTACTTCAATACTTAATTTTTTTGTTTCACTTCAAATTGATAGGTTAAATAAAAAATTAATTCAATAATTTACTATCCTATTAAAGTTAATAACGAACTAATTACCTCTTTATCTTCTTCTTCTAAGGTGAATTCTTTCTTTTTAACTTGTTTCAGTTGATTACGGAAGTTAAATTCAGCAGCTTTTTTCTGCAGCTTGGCAAATTTACTTTCATACTTCGATACTTTTTTCAAGGTTGGTTTCATGCTTTAAAATAAAATCAATTATTCATTAACTCGAGTTAAACAGGAATGAAATGGAACATTTTCAGTATTTGGATACACAAAATTACTCACAATTTTCCTCGAAGATCGTTTACTTGACTGTTCAGGTCAGCGATCTGTTAATACAGAAAATGTTATTTTAATATTTATTTTTAATTGATTATAGGTACATTAGCATGTTTTATTCATCAAGCTGTATTTAAAGTGCTTTGTGAGTACTGTAAAAAATATAGTTCATCCAGCGAAGAAGAAAGTTAGCGGACACAGCTGAAATAAAATGTTATTGACATTTATACGAGACTTGAATTTATCACAAATGAAATATCAGGTATTTTAAAATCATGTTGTTAACATCTGTAGGTATAGCCCATGGATTTAAAAGAACAAAAAAACTTATTTAGATTAAAGAAGTTGTTCTAAAAATAAACTTTACACTTTTAGATATTTATAATGGCACACAACAGGATTTTATGAGGAGTTGTTCGAGACTGGACTTCACATTTTGAGTGAAAATAAAAAAAGCATTTATCACAGCAGCCCATTATTAAGATGAAAGGCCATTGGAAAAACTCGATTGACGTATGTATTTTTTCATTTCATTTGTTTCATTTGGTTGTTTAAAATATACCTCAAAGTCCTTCTTCTTCACGATATATTCGATGTCAAATTTCTTATCCTCCAAGTCACAGATCCTAGCGTGGTATTCGCGCAGGACGCGCTTCAGAGTTTCTGTGTATTTATTATAAACAAAAATTGTGTCTATCATTTAGTATTCATCTAATGATGTATGTTATACATGATTCAACAAATTGTTAGTCTAATATGGAATATAGTCTTGATGAAAATCTATGAAAGCTTTACATTTGCAGTTTAGATTGTTATATAATTCCTTCGTAATAATTAACAGGAACTTCACTATCTTCTTCAAGTAAAATTGAAAAAATTTCTAATCAAATAATACATTACCTTCATTAGCATCATCGACTGGTCTTGGTTTTCCACAACGTTGTTCAATGATTCGTCGTCGTTCAGCTGCTTTCCTTTCTTGTTCTTTCTTCAATTCTTCAGCTGCTTTTTTACGCAACAACAGCTGCAATAAGTAATAAAAACCTTAATTCCTTTTTACAAAATATACATAGCGAATAGAAGAATCTTCACCAATGTTACAGATATACTTACCCTGAGTTTCTTCTTTCTTTCTGGGGTCATAAAACCCTTCTTCGCTTTCTTAGCTTTCGAAGCTTCTTCTAAACGAGCACGAACTTCTGCTCGTTTTCGCTCCGTTTCCGCCTGTTTCCTTTTTCTTTCCTATTTTCATAATAATTTTCAGTTATAGTGAAACACATTCATTTTCGATGCTTGAATAAAATTTAGCATAAAAGGAAATATTTAATTCAAGTACAGCAAGAGTGAATAGTTGAGATGTTAGTTAAAGGGAAGGATTTTGTGTTAAGTTCAATCGAATAATGTTTCAGGAAGGTCTTACGTACATCTTCAATCCGTTTTCGCTGTAACAGAAAATTTAATAAGGTAAAATATTCGTTCATATTTACAATGTAATAATAGTGTAAATATAGAGGTTGTTAAGAGGAGAACAATCATTATTCTAATTAGTAAAATCATCTTATCTTCTTATTAATAATAAAGTTATGTAGCAAGTTATGTAAAATATCACTATGAAAATTGATATCTCTCAAAATGTAGATGTTTGTTATTTCAACAGCTGTGAAGCGACAACAGAGTCGTTTATAATTATCACGCTTTGGTCGTGATGCCTGAAACAGGCCTCATCAGAGAGTTAGTATGTAAGGAAGGGGAATATTCATGCTCTATCATAATCCTTGGCAAGAATTCAGAGTCTTATAGTAAAGCTTGCTAGTTTGATTATTTGAATCCACCTTCTTTTTCTTTCTGTTGAGCACAATTCACTTTTCAACTATTTGCATGCATGCTTATGCAATTTTACGCAAGAAAAGTTCAAATTTACATTGAGATATAAAAAGTTATAGCTCGGTAGCCATTGCTGGAAACAGAAACCCGAGAAGAAAACCTCGTGCTAAAGATACTTTGTTTGTAGTAGCAGTTAAATCGAATGTGGGCGAGTTTCTATATCTGTCAATTTTATTTATTTATTTTTTTTAATTTTAGAACTGTTTTTTTCACAACCACATTGCTCAAATAATTTTTTTTCTTTATTGTTTCGATATTTTATTTATTTTATTTAAATAAAAAATTTCGAAAATTGACGTTTGTTAATTCATAGTCACGAAAAACACACTTCATACGTGACGTAAATAATACTACATTGATGATTTCCAAAGTTGTCGATTTTACCGAGGGCGTTGAGTAGTATCAGATTTCCAGTACCACCAGGAACGAAAGCATGAACAGAAATATTCAAATTAGGTGATGGAGACAAGAAGTGCTGGCAATGCAAATATGCACTATTGCACTAATCTAGTAAAATTCATTGAGTGAAAAAAATATCTACGTATTTTTCTTCACTCAATTATTACTTTTTTTTTGATACATACCCAACCTCATCGTCGATAGCCATGATTTAATCCTTGATGCTTGACTGAAATTCAAAAAGACGATCATATATAAATGAAATTTGTATGAATACTAACTGAAAATAATAATTTTAGTATAGAGATAACTAACACGAAAATATTTTAACTGGTGTCAACATTTTTTAATTAAATAATTTCCAACTGAAAATAAATTATGCCACTAATTGAAAAAGATTACTTAACAATTTATAATTAATGATATCTGTTTGAAGGTCTAAATAAATGATGACTTACCTAAAGTTCTAAAGAGAGGGTGACTGAGTGTTCTACCTAGCTGGAGCTTTGATAGTTGACTATTCTAATGGAGAAATCTCCACTTCAGCGCTCTCTCAGACGACGTTTACGAGTTTTAAGACATATGCATAGGGTAATTTGATTGGCTGGAACATTTTTAGGCGAGCTGTATACCTATTCTAAAAATAATTCGAAACTGAAGACGTAGCTGGTCTCTCCTACGCTTTCCATTATTTCATCTTTCTTTTTTTGTATTTTTTAACATTAAAAAATATCATTTTCTCTCTTTAACGTATTATTATAATTTTAATTCAAATACATCCAGTTCGTATATCTTATAATTATAAGGTTTTCATTTAAATTCATGAAATAGTCTTATTAACATGTTACTTGAACAACTTTTAACAGTTCTTTTCGTATTTTTTAATATAAAAATAATTCTTGCCAGTGAGAAGTATAATACTTAAAATACCTTTCGTTAAGACTCTCGATTTAAAAAAGAAAAGTTAATTTGAAAAGTTTTAAATGAATTTTTTATTTAAAAAATAATTCAATTTTTACATTTTGAATGACTAAAAAGTAGGTGGGTTATGTAGAATTCTTAGCTTTTTGCGTTGGATATTTGAGGTCAGTATTGATTGACATCAATAATAATTTTTGATATTAATCTAATTGGATTAATTATAGTGATGATAATTATTTCAGTATAAATTTATTAAAATTAATGAGATTAAAAAGATGAATGGATGATTAAATGATAAAAATTCTAAATCAAATATGACAAATATTTATAGAATAAAAAAAATGTAGACGAAGATTATTTATGTAAATATCAAACATCAATCTTTCAAATACATTGAATTTATTTCTTTTCATCATTTTTCTTTCAAAAATGTGCTATACAATTTATTTAAAATACAAAAGTTTGTTTTTTGAGTAATTTAAAATGAAGTTCAAACATAAATTAATTTGATATTATTGATTTTGAACTAAATACTTGATAAATTAATTAATTTAAATTTGTTTCAATAAATTTTAATTCTAGTTTTGATTCTAATTTTTTTGTATTTCATATTAAACACAATATAAACAATAGATCATAATTGCACATACTGAACTACAAAATCAAAGTAATCTTACTGTAAAACATTGCTTTTCGTAATTTTAGAGAATCATCAAGAAAATTTTAATCTACTAAAGTAAAATAGAAATTTTTTTTTAATAATCTATCTTGAACCATTCAATTGGTAACATTGTAAAATTCAATAGACCGTTAAATTGCAATGAGAGAAAATATTAAATTTTAAACCAATATTCTGCAGCTATTCGTGAATTTTCGTAAAATAATTTATCAATTGATTATCAATTTGAAGCTTAATTGTTGATGATAACAATAATAATCCAATAACAATATTAAAAAATAAATGATCCAAGTCATAGTAGTATTATAGCACAAATAATAATTGGTAGTCATATAATAAAACTGATGATGTGCTTGAATAGAAATTATGTGGGATGATTGATATCAGAACAGAGCACCGAAATTATCCGTTCAACATTTGTGTTTGATTATAGAGTTAACAGCTCATAATTGTCATGCGGTATTTTTTTACCTGGGTTTCTCTGTCTAACGATTTCGCGCCCGCGTTCTCGACTATGCACGATCCGCAGCGACACAGCCTATTCTCCAGAGTTCAGTCGCCGTTTAGACCGCGACAACGTCGGGCATCGAACCGGCCGCTCGTTGATTCCTTACTAACGTGATTTCAGGGATATTCTTACTTAATCAACTATTCTTTTGCAAATAATTATTTTAATGTATTTTCATTAAAAATGCAATTATTATAGTTATTCTATTGAGGTATTTAATTGATCAAGATTACTTAATTTTATTTTTTCAAGTAGATATCACATCAGTAGTATGTTAAATTCATCTAATTTTTAATGAATTGATCGCCATTATTATAATTATGATTCTTGAATTTTTATGTTATCATTCATTAGCATTTTTATTGAATTTTATTCATAGAAACATTTCAATGGCCCATTCAGATAAAAAAATGTGATGTGAAATTTTTCAAAGCTCTCATTTGAAAAATGAAATTTCTTTTTAGTTTATTCAAATTGTTAGAATAATTTAATACATTAAATTAAAAAGTATATTTTAGTGACTTTTGAAAATAAGTAATGATATAAAAATTTATTTTGAAAGCTTCATAAATTGATTTTTTTTGCAAGTCAAATAATTACTTGGTACTTTCTATTATCTTCTTGTATAATAGGCTCAATTTTCTCAAACTGCACTACAAGTTTGACCAAGTTTGAAGAAATTTGTAGCCTATATATACAGCTGACGTGTGGTCCTTGAGAAGTTTTCAACAGTCTGCTTCGATACCCTAGATATTTTCATCTGATTGCAAAATTTCTATGTTTCTGTCTATATTTTCCATTTTTTCTATCTTATTTTTATACTAAAAAACATGCATGCAAGTTTGTCAGTTGCTAGATTCTTAAATAAGCGTAGCTGTCAATTTTCGAGTCACTATTAAAATGATGCATAACAGAGAACTTGAAATGATTCATTGATACGTGTTATAATATTTTGGATTGACTCTTTCTTAAGCTCTTTTATCCGGCGAAAAAATACTTGTAAGTAATTATCTTTCAGAAAGTAATTGTATTTTCAATAGTTATTGTTTATAATTTAATTACTTCAAAAATATTTTATAATGTTACTATAAGAAAATACTTTTTATTTCGCACAAAACCTCATTAAAAAAATTATCTGAAATAATTAAATTCAATGGCATTAAAAAATTTTGCATGGCATCCGAGCAAAAAAATCTCATCTCCGGTACGGTGATTTTGGAGACAAACACCGTTGGTTGTAATTTCTCTTTAGGGTGAATACAAATCAAACCTTGCATTATGCAAGGATTTTGTAGTTAACCCATTGTTGAGTCATTTTCTTTTACTTTTCACCACCGAAGGCAAGTTGTTTTAATCTAAACTTTTAGCTACATTAAAGATCTGTAAGAATAAACGCTCCAAGCTCCGTACCTGAGTGAATCTTTTGTATTTTACGAACAAACAATAAAAGGTGGACGTACAACAGCCAATGGTAGAAGGGAGAGTATTTTTTTTTGTGAAACAAACACGGTTGAACAGAAAAAAAGTGACTTCTCACACGGGAAACAACCACCTGAAATATCAAATGAACACGCGATGAAAAAAAATTCTTATATTAATAGTATCTTATTGATTAAATGAATGATAAAGAATCTGTACTAACGAAATTCATACACCATGTTATGAACATTATTGTGTTAGCAAGTTCTCCTTAATTCTCTTCTGACATATAAATCCTCCCTACTCTGATCTTATCCTTTTAGCACCAGCACTTCCTGCTTAACTCCATTAATTTTCCCAACGTCATCTAGACGCTAAGTGTGCTACTGTACTATGATCCCTATATGTCACTTTACTTATCATCACCTCCAATTAATTTAAATTCCAATAAAATAAAAAATATTTCACTTTTATTAACAGAAAGTTTTTTTTTTCAGCTGAAACAATCGCTGGATAGTGACTTTCTGAGATGTTTCAAATTCTGGAAGAAAGCGTAAAAGTGCAGTTGCACATTTCGTAGTTTATGGAAGACGAAAAAAAGTAGAAAAACTCTGAACTATCATTATCAAAGCATTTGCAAGAAGAATAAGCAAGATAATATAAATACTCTTGGAATTAAAGTAAAATCTGGGAAGATTAAAAAAGAATAATCCAGAGTAATTAGTGAATACGAAAAAAGGGGAATAATTAAGAAATCTGTAGATGCAATTAATGTGACTGGTGCGTGATAATACGCTAAGGAACGGAATCACAAGCGGAAGTGCGATCAAGAATTCTTGGTGCTTTACCTGGAACTCATCAGAGCTTTAAGAGCGCCAAGGAAAAAAAACAAGACGAAGAAAAGAAGGAAGAAGTACCCCTATTTGATCGTGATTGTCAGGGTTTGTGGACAAAGACCGGGAGCGAGATCGGGCCCGGATGCTCGCAAGGGCAAGACGTCGGAAGCGCTGCCACGTTGGAAGGGAAAATCTTGACTGTCTTCAACAAGTTTCTGACAACATCCCCTTTGGTTAACAAGGTTAAGCTACTTATGGTAAGTCTTGGACTTTATTTTATTTCTATAGGCTGCTTTCCTTTCACTGAATACACTTAATATTTACTTCATTATTTATTTTTTTAATTCATAGACATTTTTTAAAATTACAATTTTTTTTTAAACTTTGATTACAATTTTTGATGAAACTATTACACTATTCTCCTAGTTAAAATACTGTTATTGTATAAAGTGGTTGTAAGAATAGCACGTGCTTTGCCATTCACATTAGGATGAAAGCTTAAAGAAGAAATCTAGAACGCAAAAACTTTTCGTTTAGTACTTTTGCAAAAGAGTTCATTTTCATGACGCTCAAGTTGGTGGGTAGTTAGTGGTTTTGTGAAAAAAAATTCCTATACCAATGAGATCAAAGACTCGAGAAGGTATTAAAAGCATTGCAAGATATAATATTACAATCATCTTCTATTTTTAGAGCTGGATTATATTACTTGTTCATTTGATTTATATGACTTCTTCCAAATGTAACTTGACATTTTGCTCTTTATGAAATGAATATCTCTAATTAGACTTTGATTTATTTATGTCACTGTGGTGAATTATTTTGTGTTCTACCATTTCATCAATTTCATTGTGTAAAATGATCTTTTGCCTGGCATTATGCCGCTATGTAGTGAACAATTCTGTTTTCATTATACAGAATAATGTTTATATGGAAAATTAACATTTAATTCAACTTGTTGCACTCTATTTAATTTCAATAATCGTTGTATCATTGATTTTGTTAAGACTTACAATTAAAAATTGATACAAATAATGTAATTAATTTTAATACAGCATTGATCAAAATTAAATGCAATTAATATTAATAGAAAATTAATTCATCTTATGGAATTTTTCATTTCATTTGATTGACTGATTTCATTTCATTTAACTTTTTAATAAGAGATAATGTATATTCATTAAACGTCTTGAAGAATTTCTGAAAATTAAGCAGTGAATATTCTGCATAGAAAATGATATTAATTATGCTTATTAAATCGCTCAGATACCTTTAATTTGACTTTTGAAGAGGTTGAAAAGAATTTTTGTCTCTAAGAGAAAATCATATAAATTCCTGTGACATACAATCCAATTTGATTGGTACAATTTTTACGTATGTACGTCCCATAGGAACTGAAGTGATTTACATAAAGTCGATAAACATCTATGCTGATATTGAGAATTTATTCAGCTTTTTTATATTCTGTACATAATTTATACGAATAATCTAACGTAGAAAATAATATTTGTCAGTTTGTCATGTTAAATAATATGACAAGTTATATTGTATAATCAGATAAAATTTGATTATATGTATTTTCATCTTTTACATTACCAATTACTCGACTAAATTGTATCAAATGTATAATCAACTAGTTATATGGTTTTGAAATAGAGTTCGAATAATAAAAAAAAAGGTGGGAGGAAGAGAAAATTGCTAGAGTGTGATTTACAAATAGATGGACAGATGAAATTGGAACTGTGTGAAACAAATCTAACGAGTCGAGTAGTTCAATTCGATTGATAGTAAATTACGTATAGTTATCTATAAAAAAAAATTATTTATAGGTCTATAATATGAAAAATTACTTAATTCGAATTGATATTAACTTATCTATTGTTATAAATATTTATTAGTGTATGTACTAGTTTCTTTTATATTTCTACTTTTCTACTAAAACATTAAAGTACTTAGGTTTTTAGGTTGTAAAACAACAAAATTCTAAATAAGAAAATTATTTATTATTATTTCCTTTCTGATCGGAATAAAAAATTTAAATTTTCATCTTATACTTGAGAGAAGATAATGATTCAGTTTGTTTAGTCAGTAAATTTCATTACAATATCCAAAAATATAGTAATTAATTAAAGAGTCAATATTATTTCTTACTGACAGTAGCATACACTCCAATAACAAGTTGGATTCAATTATCTATTGACAACAATTCAATTGGGAAAAATAATGCAACTTTCGTTGGTAGTAGATATTTGAACATAGCATGTAGTTAAGGGTTGAATAAAAATGAAATGCAGATTATAAACCACAGGGTTTTATAAATGAATGCGTGACTGATTTATAAATGATTCGTCCGTTTTTTTTATTGAAAATAATTTTATAACTTAATCTTTAAAAACAGTTTAAAACTATTTTTTCCATATCGTATGGATATTTAATATCAATATTTAACTATTTTTTAAAGAGTTTTTTTTGGAAAAACATTCAACTGAAAGGAAAGAAACTCAAAAAATTAGATTAAATTTTCTGAACTGTCGAGTCTTCTTGTGAAGTTTAATGGAATTAATTCTTTATTAAATTTAAAGAAAATTTAATAAAACTTGCAATTAATTCAAATGAATCATGTAATGATCAGTAGACTAAACAGTTACACTTATAGAGTTACAGTCGTTTTTTTTTTTCATCAAACAATTTCACCAGTCTGAATAAATTATTAAAATAAATTTTATTAGAATTTCCACTAAAACATGAAAATGATTTTACTATGCTCGTACTATGTCGACCCTCGTTTATTCTTGACAAATCTTTTGAATTTTTAGTTTGAATTTGGTACCATCAAGTTTTTCCAAAGGGAATAATTTGAATAATGGAAGCATACGCACAAAATATTTTTATTATGAATTTAAATTTTTCTTTTCAATTTATCTCAGTGATATTCATTGTCAATTTTAAAGGTAGCTGGCTCATATAAATCCTCTGTCTATTTTACTGTATAATTTTCATTATATAAATACTCACTATTTTCTCAGTTCTTTGACATCAAAAATATATATGCTTTCATGGAAGCTTTCATAGAGAAATTATACATAATCTAATTTTATTTATGTAAAAAATAATAACCATAAAGAAAATTTATATCTGAGATTTTTAGGATATAAATTTGAGATCTACAAGTTTGGTAGCACAAAAACAGAACAAGGTAATATATTGTGAAAGATATTCCCACACTTTTGATAGTCTCTATCTTAAAAATAAAAACGTTAACGGACAATATCACATATTTCTAAAGTATTGACTACTTTATCACATTCATAACATTCGATTATACTCTTCGTATCGTTTCCGTCATAGCTGGCCAAGAATGTGATATTGCAGAAATGCAAGAGAGAAAAGTGAACGTATGTATATGCCGATAGAATGGAAAATACTTGCGGACGAATCTGAAAATACAGTTATCGATACGTGACCGTCTGTGTAAGGTTTGTTTTCAACTATCCTCATGTTTTTATTTGATTTTCATACGATTGTTTCAACGCTTTGTCAGATAGGCTTTCACTTCTATCGGCGATACACTTTAATTGTGATAAAATCAGACTGAAGAACCAGGAAGAACGCTTTGTGCTGCGTTCAATCAATCAGTTGTATTATTAGATTTACGTGCGTTGAAAAAAGAATTAGGTACGAGGAATTTACAAAAAAGTTATTTTAATTGAATTTTGATTTATAAATTATTATTTTTTGTGAATTTAGAGAAAAAATTCAATTCTTTCTGAACGAATACACTTTTTTACAATACCAGTAAAAATTACTCAAACAGTTTGTGTATTATTCCAAGTAGCAATGACATATGCCCACATATCTATGTAGTAATGTTATTAGATAATTTAATAACAATATAGAGCTACCTTCCAACTACTATATTACTACCATAAAACTATTTACTAAATCAGCTGATTATATTGAATTCCTCGATCGAAATTGCTGTATGACAATTGTATATTGGGACTGATATCACTATCAAAATTGATAAGAATAGAAATCATTACTTGACTTGTTCTTCATTCTTTTCACCATTATTCACTAATATGATTTAAAATTAATGAGTTTTTGACACAAAATTTTTTAGAACTAGTTATTAATGGAGGCTTAATGAATTTTAACAGATAATTTTATTATTTATTGCTAAATAGCTAAATATATCGAGCAAAGCTTTAATTGTTCCACACTAAAAATGTACTATTTTTAAATTAAAGAAAAAATTAATCAAAGTAAAAATCTGGCTTCAACACATTAAATATTTTTGTTCAAATTAAGTTTACCATCGTTAAACAATCATCATTCATTTGTTAATTATGGTATGATTAATTAAAATAAAATTATCAATCAAAATGATTATTTACAATTGAATTCTTGATAAAAGCCATTAAGAAAAGCTAAGTTTCAATTTTCCTCACAGTTTTTTCTTTCCAATAAATTGAGTAATGAGTTGGTTATTTGCATTGAAATCTTCGTAAATGACTCATTAATATTTTAGTGTAAAAATTCAAAAGACTTTTTTATTTTTTATTCAATAGCTAATTTTCATTAAAGTCATGCTCATTTTTTCCACACATATTTACCATCATTAGGAATACTGCACAACAATTCACTACATTTGATCTGTAATAAAATCTTCGCACATGAAATCATCAAGATAAAAGAAAAATTTGTTTCATAATAAGATGTTAAAAATAAGTGCAATCTGTATAAAGACATTAAAAAATATAATATGTGATAAATGAGTGGTGAAACAATAGCTATTTATGATTGGTTAAGATAAAAGCTCATTATAAGACGTCATACAAAAGAATTCAACTTTAATGAATCATTAAAAGAAAAAAATCGTCATTAATGGGAAGGAGAAGGTAGTAATAAATGCTACCAGAAAAAATGTAATTTTTAATTGCATTGCTGGTTTTATCGTTGATTCACTTTTGACGTCAGTAAACGTTCTCGAGCAAAGAAAAATACGACAAGAATTTCAAGTTTTTGCAGAGAATACTTTTTGCACTCTATAGGTTCGGAAGTTTACGGTGGGAATTGGTTGGAGTACCAAAAGCATTCTGGTGTGTTTATAAAAGTTTTGTGCTTCGTTACTGAGTTAATCAGTTGAGTAAATGTTTGTATCAACCAACTCATTTGATTTCGATTTTCTAGTAGTGCTTTAACGATGTCGACGAGACATGTCATGAGACTCATTGCCAAATTTGAAAGTATGAAGGTA